ACAACATTTAACATATTTCAATTAATAACATTCAGATGATCAGATATTTGATTCTTCATATTTCTCTCGAAATATATATATATATTTTTTTAAGCCTCCACACAGATTAAACTGGATTTCCGTTTTGGCGAGCCAAACAACACATTGTTCAAAAACCCTCTTTCCAATAAGAAGGTAACGGTTAACCAGGCAGCATATAACTCAAACTGAAAGCTTTTTACTTTATCTGATTAGGAGGTGAATAAATCAAAATGCCCCACACCTACCGAAGGGCTTTGGCCGAAACCTCTAAGCCGACTCGACCCAATCAAAAACGCATTAAAGCCAAAGGGCCGACAAATAAACAACAACAATTTGTCAAAGTGGCAACAACAATCAACGCCATTTAATTAGATGCCATTGATTAGGAGCGAAGGGAATGCGCATCTTCGAATGCATTTCTGTAATTTTTCTCCGCGGCTTTTCCCCGCTCATTTCCTACCACTTGAAAACTCGTCGAGCTTGACAAATTTGACAGGCCTGATTGAAAATGAAAAGTTGGACACAAAAAGGTGTTCGACAATAGAAAGGGGCCCCTTCCTCGCGAAGAATCATTAAAAGCCGAAGCTTTTCGGCCAACAAAAGATGGCCCAAACGGCCTGTAGTTTCGGACATTTGAAAGTCTGGGAGTTGGAAAGCAAATGTCAAGTAGGTGGCACTTTCAAAAAAAATAAAAATAAAATCGAACAGAAAAATCTCTGCGCGCCTGGGCTTTTCCCATTGCCTTCGATCGGCTTGTTGCAATGGGTGAGAATTTATGTAGATTTTTTTGCTGCCACCTGGGCAATTTGTCAAGCAGTTAAGTCTTTAGTCCATGAGGGATTGACAGGCGGGCTAACTATCTAGCCGGCTAGCCTCCGTTTCAATTTGGCTTCCACCTTGCCACCTTGCCTTGGCTGCAAAACCCCGGCCCAAACCGAGACTCTCTGATATTGTGTGAATATTTTATGTCTGTGACGCGGCTGCCACGTAAACAAGCCGCTTAGTTGTACAGTTTCTGCAATTGCTGCCACCTCCTTCCAGGTGGTGGCAAATATTTGAAATATTTTGGCAAAGTACAGGCAAATTGCCAAGGCAGGGGGCAATTTTTCAGAATTTAAATGTAAAATACGATGCATAAAGTCGATACGTAAAACACAAGAAGTAAACCAGTGCTCCATATCGAGTGCCTATTTTTTCTGGAACAACCCTAACTCATAAATGTTTATACTAATAAGCAGACACATATTAACTTCGCTTTGGGTAAGGATAAAACTAACAAATGTTAATTTACGTCTTTTCACTCTACATTTACCATTTACATAAGTCCCACCTGAGTTAATCGGTTGAAGTAGAACACGTTTAAAATTGGGAAAAACTGGGACATTAAAATGCTTAAAGACTTTAACCTACTTTAAACGGGGCGTTAAATACCTGAGCGTAAAGGAACAAAAAGAAAAGTAATAGAAAACGGAAAAGAAAATCGAAAAAAAAAACCGAAAACTTATCTTAGAACACAATGAGCTACTGACGAGCTGAACAGTTATGATTGTTTGCACAAGACACATACTAAGTGGACTGCCGGCGAAAACTGGCTTCGAAAAAGGTGCCAAAACCCGAGTTCTGCCAACTGCCAACAGCCAACTACCAACTGCAATGAGGAAGGTCAGTGTGCGGTTAATTACCGAAGCGGACCAAACCCAAAGCAAACAGTTGAAACAAACAAAGATTTTGCTCAGTGAAACTGATTTGAATATCAATAAAATGTTTAATCACGAGATCTCTGTAAATATAGTAAAAATAATCATGAATGGAATAATAAAATATATTTCAATAGAATCCCATTTTCTCGCAGTGCAGCTACAGATTCGCAATCCAAGTCGAAGTTGAAGGCGACGTCGAACTTAAAGTTAATGTCGAGGTGGGAGCAACAGTTAGCATTCCGTCAGTGCAAGTGGCACAGCAACAGATGGCCAAGAGTCTGGGCTAACTGTTTACCGCCGTTTTTACGATGGTCAAGTACTGATGAGGGGGCGGGGGGGAATTCCAGGGGGTTGGATGATGGGGGAGGAGTGCTGATGGGGCGAGGGCGTGGCCAAACATTGACAAATCATCTTGACACCTTGAGACTGTCATAAAAATGGGTTACGGACATGATTTGCAATGCAATAAACTTAATTGAGTGCGCGTCAGATTTTAATTTTAAACTCAGCCCCCGAAACCGGTTCGCCCCTCGCAATCATCGGAATTCCCACCCATCGGATCGTATATAGAATGCACAAAAAATTTCTACAACAGTATCGCGGAATAAGCCAAAAGAACGAGCTGGTTCTAAGGCGCGAAGTCGTAAAACGTTTTTTTGATGCCGTCATGGTACCCTTTCGATATTCGCTTTAACGATGCCATTAAAATCTCCGACATTGTTGTCGATATATAGAAGACAGATTCGTTTTTCGGGGATTTAGTTATTGCATTATAAAAAATCGTGTTAAGATTTTGTCGCCGTTTAAATGGCGCCAAATTGTTAATAAGCGTCGCATATTTCTTTTGGTCATCATTAACGCGCTTTCTGTGACTTTAGTGGCTTGCTATAAATATCATTATAATGGCCATAAATCGGAACTGATTTAATGGGCCAGCTGCTTACGTATTTGGCGAATATATCAGCTTTAGTCACCTGATACAAAGGGACCGTTTTTAAAAGACCTCAGACAATGATTTATAAATATTAATAACCTTGAGGAATAAAAAACCTATTTAGAATCGAAATATCGTAACATAAATTTATAGAATCATAATTATTCACAGCTTACCACATTTCTTTGTAAATCAAGTTTTATTGCAAATTAATTTTCCCATAGCAATCAGCTGTCTTGGATGCAACTTTTCCTTTATGCAAATTTATTTAATTTGCAACAATTAAATTAAGATGCAATCTAATCCCCCGTAATTGCCGCCTGTCGTCGGAGTTGGCTTAATACCCGCTTAAGCTGCACTTGAAAAATGGTTAAAAAATCAACATGAATACGAATGACTTCAAATGTGGGGAAGGGTATGAAGTCGGCAAGAGTGCGCTGGCATTTCCGTCACTAAAGCCGCGGCTTAAAATGTTTCTTCATTAGAATAAGTGTCATAAAAATAAACGCATAAAAACATCTCGCCGATACGGGGCCATAAGCGGATCTAATCATTTTCCCATAAACAGCCGGCGATGCTCAACTAAAATCTGCTTAAATTTCACCTGACACGCTAATTTGGCTAATAAACATTCGACAACAAAAAGTTAAGTTGAGCTGAGAAAAAAATGTAACCACAAAATTCAAATGAAATTTCGGAGGCGCCAAGCCAGAAACCACAAAAAATGTTTATACAAGAAAGTTATAAAATTGTATTCGATGTATACGAATATATCCACCGACATTCCAGCCAACTTTGTTCACGTTGTTCTTGCACTTGGGCTTGGGCTATAAATTAAACTCGAAACCAGTGAGCTATTTGCCGTTGAGTTATTTTGACGCCAAGCCGAGACGTATTCTAATGCAAATTTCGAATTTTATTTGTTTGGGTTTTTGATATTTCCCACTTCCTTCCCCCCACCACCAAAAAAACCTGCTGATCCACCCAGGAAAGGTGTAACATTTAAGTGCCGAGCGAAGCGTTAAACTTATGCGATGGGTGGGTCTAGTCATCTTTTTAAGTTTCTAGGAAAAAATTGAAAAACATGTTGCATGAATAATATTACAGGAAAAAGTTCCGGAACAAGCCTATGTAAATAAATCTTTTGATAGCCAAGAAGAAAGTACAATTTGCAAATGTGACAATGTTACAACCTTGAGAACATTTGTTGTTTCAATCATCTCTCTCCTTATAAACATAAAATTAAATTATCACACCTTAGATCATTGACCTTGGATCAAAAACCCATTTATCCAATGACGAATTCCCCGGCTAATACGCCAATGATTCTATCATCAATTCTACAAATAAAAGCCAAGCCGTGAGAGCATCTCGATAGCCTCGTAGACTGATCGCAGATCGCCGATCGCAGAGCGCCTTACAAAAGTGGCAAGTGCTTCGCGTATTTAAATTTATTGCTTAACAAATTTATTTTTTGTTAAACAAATTTATAAATTATTGCCGCGAGAGTATAATAAAATTTCATTAGCGGCATTTGCCGACTCCGAGTATCCGAGTGAATATCGGTCTAAGGCGTTGGCGTGGCGTGTTTCGTTTCGTTTGGATTCGTTTTGAGCTTTTTGGTTTTTCGCTTAGGGGCGCGATCGGCGAGCGCAGACCGGCGGCGCCAGTTGGCCAAGAGAGAGCTTTGTTTGGGCCAAATCTGTCGGACTGGACGGACAGCTGGTGGCTGGACACTTCAAGCGCAGGTTGCTGATAAATCCGATGTGGGGCCCGAAAAGCTAGCTAGCCAAATTTGCATGTGTCGCTGCGACACAGAAAACGCTGGTTAATTAATTTCAGACACGCCATACATCTCGGGTACTTTGCATAAATTAATATGAAATCTTTATTTATGATTTATGCGGTGTCAACATGGTCCGGACATCTATCAAATAGTTTCCACCGATCGCTGGATTTCTGTACGCACAAAAGAAGATGTGATGGAAATATTCGAAAATCGCCCACGCGTTTTGCACGCGACTTTGCGGCGACTTTGGCCGCCAGATAATAATAATAATTTATTGTTATCCGAACCGATTGAGGTCAGGCAGTCAGGAGATTTACACATTGTCACATTGTTGTAGATTCTTATCAATTGTTACACGATTTTCGAATTAATTTTTGATTCATTCGATTTTTACGATTTGCTGGAATGCGCATTTTGAATGTTCGAATTGGGTGACCACAAAAATCTGAATATGTGGCCATCGGATGTTTCCGGATTGCGAGATGATCTTGGGAAGATATTTCCACAGGCTAGAGAAGATTATAAAATGCTGAAAATGATCAAAGAGTCCCCCCACTATTTTCGAAATAAATATTGCATGTTTGTATTGTACTATATGTGTTTCATATTTATTATTTTGAATTCGTATCGTTTCATCGTCATTCGCAAATTGCTCATTGTAATTACTATTATGGTTATTGTTTGTCAGCAGCCCACTATCATTACCATTATGATTCTGATTATCGTTAACAACATTAATATTTTCGTTAGGGTTATCAATATTAAGTTGTTGCTGCTGCTGCTCGTCGTGTTGCCGTTGCTGTTGCTGTTGCAGTTGCAACTTCTGCAGGCCACGAAGGAGTTTCTTTAGAACTAGCTCCTCGTGCTCCTCGTCGTTCGGATAGCTATCGTCGATTATATTATTAGCATCAATATGATTGCGATTCTCCACGACAGTCTCGCCAACTGTCTCCCCCTCACCTTCACCTCCGCTCACTGATGTCCCAACTTGGCTGGCAGTCGAAACAGGGTCAATTCGATCGTTTAGTTGCTTAAGATTATTGTCAATATTCTGATTGAACGCGCTGTGGCTATGGCTATTGCTATTGCTATTGCTATCGCTATCGCTATGGCTAGGGCTATGGCTATTTGGACTATCGAACTTAGGGCTATCGTCTAAACTACTAGAATCAGTCGTGCTACTTTTAGTATTCAAATTATAATGCTCGTTACTGTACAAGTAGTTGTAGTTTTTTGGCAAGGCAGGTATTGCATGATTAACATTAGCGCTATTACTATCAATTAGTAGGTTTAGGTTTAAGTTTAAGTTACTATTACTATTAACATAGGCTTTTGAGTATTCGTTTGTGTGTGGTGGCTCGTCCTGCTGCTGCAGCTGCCGCTGCGAGGGTAGCTCCACCAGTTGCATATCGGCAGCGGGCGGGCTGCTGTTGCCCCTCACTCCCGCTGCACCACCACCACCTGTGGCACCACCACCAGTGGCACCACCTGTTGCCGCCGTCGAGCGTTTTCGCCTGTCCCGCTTGCGACGACTGGCGGCCATGATGGCCACCAGATTGAAGGCGCTCGGCGCCAACGAGGCGGCCGTGGCGGTCAAGGCCGTCGAGGAGAAGGACGTCGAGGAGGAGGAGGACGAGGCCGAGGAGGCGGCCTTGGGCAGGTGCTCCGCCCGCTCCCTCTCCCGCTCCCGCTCGCCCGCCTCCCGCTGCTCCTGCTCCCACAGCTCCCGCTGCAACTTGTGTTGCTGCCGCTCCAAGCGGCGACGGCGGCGGCGCTCCATCGCGGTGGCATTGTTGTGGTGATGGCGCACCACCAGATTCTTGGGCTGCGGATGGGCCATCACACCCACTGCGCCATGTGGCCGGTGGCGACGGCGATGCTGCTGTTGCTGCGGCAACTGTTGCTTTTGTTGCAACCTATGGCGGCGTTGTTGCTTGCGATTCCTCTGCAGGATCACCTGCTCTTGCAGGTTCAGCTCAATATTGTTGTTGCTATTGGCTTGGTTGTAGGACTTAAGGCTATTGCTGTTGCTCAATTCTTCAGGGATGTTGCTCTTGGTACTATCGCTATTAATACTTGTTGGGCGACGCGACTTTGAACGCGCGCGTTTTGTGACCGCCATTGGGCTTACTGTTGTTGTTGTTGATTTTGTTGTGGTTGTTGTTGTTGTTGTGGAGCTGATTTTGGTAGTACTGGGTGGTGTTGTTGTTGTTGTGGTTGATGTGGTTGTGGTGGTGCTGGTGGTGGTGGTGGCGGCCTTGTGTTTCTCCGAAACTTTCGAAAGGATTCCGCTGAACTTCTGCTCATCCGCAAGAAAGAAGGAGAATATGGCCTTCTCCATCACTCGCGGCTTGGCCAAATCCTTTGGGCCAATTTGCCGAAAGTTGCCCTTGAACCCCAAACGAAGTGACGGATTGTAGGCGCTGGTGTATTCGTGATAGCCACCAACCATCCTCTCCCTGAATTGACAGTCCTTTGTGGCGTTTTTCTGGAAATAATAAAAAAAAAATAATCGATCCTAAGTTAGTTGGTTGTGAGCATTATTTAAAATGTAGCAAATCCACTTTAATAGGTAAGTTATTAAAAGATTAACTACAAATATATTTCTGTTGAAATCTAGATCTTTTAATTGATTATTAAAGTTATGGATTATAGAAATCCCATGATTGCATCTGCGAAAACTCACCTTTCCAACAAGTCTGCCTTGATGGAAGCACAGATAGTAGTTTACATCCGCCGCATAGATGGTCAACTTGAAGTCCGAGCTCAGCACATCGTTGACACCTTCCATCGTGAAGTATTCTAAAGGAGAGACATAAGAAATCCGAAATTTAATTAATTATTGGCAAACAAACACAGGCGACGGCTATTGTGTAAATATTTAATGAAACTGGAACTGGAACCACTTGAGGCGCATACAGATAACCCAATTAATTGAAAGGTTTTCGATAAAGTTATGAAGGGGCTTTCGATTAGAATGAAACTATATGGAGCATTTAATGAAATCAATTACCGGCGCTGAGTCGTTGAACTCCCTCCTGGCGAAAGAGTTTAACCCTGAAAAGCGCCTAAGCCCGATAATTCCGAGCGATTTGGCTGGAGTTTCGGTTTGGATTTGGGTCTTGGGTCTTGGGGGAAGACCTTCGAAGACCCAGCATATCGATCAAACTGCCTCCGAATCACCTGCACTCCGATAAGATAAAAAGCCGAGCTGACAATTTGTTTCCGTTTTTGTTTTCTTTAGAATTGTGGCTTAATTTACGCATAAGGGCGGTGGATCGGTAAAAGTCCCTTCTGACTTATCAATGACGCAAGACGGCGCCCGATTTTGTCACTTTCGCTCAGCCATCAACCCACAATGTGCAGCGAGGGCTGCTCGTGAACTTCAGAACTCCGCAGCTGGGAAACCGCAGCAAATGAATTCCGAATAAATTAAGAGCGGCTGGGCAAAAAAAAAAAAAAAAACAGAGAAAACAAAACAAAACCGCAATGGGCGCCGCTCGAGGCGGTTCATAACATCAATCAAATATTAAATTACCAATAATTTAATTAAGCACACAATATGCACAGCCACAGACGAAGACCCAGACCCAGACAGAGTTCAAACTGTACAGTCGGAATTGGCTATCTTGGACTTGTTTTCAAATATGTAGTTTTTCATATATAAGTTTTAATTATATATTAAATGTGACAAATCCTATTGTTAACTTCTAAGAAACCCATTTAAATGAGAATAAATTCTTTTATACTTGAATATTTTTTCACTTTAAGGAATACATACTTTATCTCTAAAGATACGCATCTGAAAGTACTTGTATAAATGCCAATTTAATTTAAATGCCAATGGCAATTGACGAACGCGAGTTCGCATGAGTAATGCCTGTCTCAGTTCGGTTCCAGTTGGGAATGTTTAATATTTTCCTAAAGCTACATATAGTACACACTCGTATAGTATAGGGAATATTTGGAAGAGTACTTACGATATGTTAGCAATATGTTCGCGGCGGTCACTTTGCCGTGCGAATTGATGTTCAGCGCACGTTCCTTGTTCTTCAATGTTAAAACATAGCGTGTTTTCGCGGCGCATGTTGGCATCGCCAGAACAACCACAGCAACCTGCAAAGGGAAGAGAGAGAGAACTTCGATTAATGGCCGATTCATCTGCATTACAGCCACATCTGGCGACTAATCCCGCCCAACGGAACCCTTTTTGCCCCATAAATTCCCATTAATACGATGAGCTTTTTATTACACCGCCCCGCACATGCGACACGAAGTTTTTATGGTCAAAGTTGAGCCCACTGGCCGGCCAACTGTCCATTAGCCGGGTTATGGTAGTCCAGGTAATTGGTTTCTCAATGGGATCTGTTGTCCTAAGCTTTGACATTCTGCAGATAATCGGACAACCGGCGACTGCGTTCCCATGCATTTAAATTGGCGAGGAGCAGGTTACAGCGAAATGGAATTTAATTGCTTGCGAACTGTAGGATTGCGGAAGGGATTAAGAGAACAACTGGATTTTTCTGGAGATTACTGGAGGTGGTATTTTTAACCTGAGAAATGCGGGTTCCCGAATAGTATTTCACCACCTGACACGTGTGTTCTCCATGGCTCTAATCACGGCACGTTTTCGACCTTTGATCAATCGAATTTCGACGCACCACTCGAATGATATCACAACTATCATTCGATAAAGAAAAAATGCAAATCAGCAAAATAATGCGCTAGGCATATGACATATATAGCGTGGTGAGTGTAAATCGAGTATTTATCGGGGCTTAGATCATACATCAAATCGTTCATAAGGCCTATTTACCGCACGGCCCCAAGAACCGCCAGTAAGCATTATTAGCTATTTATGGGGGAATGGCCGAAAATAACGCAGGACTTTCGGCAGAGGGCTTAAAAGGTCTTTCGGGTGGTAAGCGATCGGTTTTTTGGACACAAGCCAAAACAAATTGACCTAAGCACGGAGATCGAAGCGTGCCGATCGATTTATCGGGGCTTAAGCAATCTATTCGAGCTCCCCAACTTGTTGACATTCCTCGTGTTTCTCATCTTTGAGTTGACGTTGACACAATGTCAGTTTTCCAGATACAAAGACGGATGGGGGGAGAGAGGCCTTCTGTTTGCACTTCCAAAAAACAGAAAAAAAAAAAACAAAATAAAGTAGAGAATGCCTTGCGACCTTTTCCATAGTTCAATGACGTTCCTCGGCGTGTATGTGTAACAATCTTAATAATAATTATTATTATTTTTTATGGGCCGCCTCGAGTGGAGAGACCCCACAAAACCGAGAGCCACTCCAATGTACACACGCTCCCCATATCAAAACTCCGAATGGCTTCGCCCCCCACTCCGATTTCGATTACACACACTCAATCTCTCGAACTTATGAAAATATATTTTGACATTTCTCAAGATAATTATTCAGAGTGTGTTGAAAACAAGGCGGCTTTCGATCGAGATTGAAGATCTCCAGATGGTTTTTCGCCCAGCCAAAATCCGAAATTGGAACAAGGCTTTGGCTTTAGAGTTCTTGGGCAATAGTTCATGTAAATTATGCTAACTATTCATAACCCATAAAATACTTACCATCAGTATAAAAATAGTCCTGACATTGGGCAGCGTGAACTGTAGTAACCTGCAAGTAGGCGAAAAATAATCGAAATGAGTATTCAGCATTCAGTAGTATAGTATTCAGAGAAAAATTACGCTAGCCACTATAAATAAAGAGTTGAGAGTGATTCAAAGGAGACACATTTGCATAAATCTTACAGATTATTATTAATGATTATTATTGGTTTTATTGATTTGTTTTCAACTTTATTCGTCTCGTTTTGTTTTGTTTGCCGAGACGGACTTCCGTCTTAAACAACAATTAAGTCATTTTACTGCCGACGAGATCGTGAGATCTTTAAATGTGTATTTAAATAAAAAATGCGAGACGAGTCCATCGGATTTCCATGAAGAGCCCTTCCAGCGGCTCTGGCTGTGGCTCAATGTCACCCCATCACAAGTGACCACAAGTGGCCACTCGGAAAACGCCAGAGAGAAATGTGCTTTACTATATTTTATTTTTTGCCTCTTATTTTATCGATTCGGGCGAACAAGTCTTGCCATATTTTTTGCACTTTCCGCACTGCATATTCTGTTTCACGAGCAACTAATCCCCGGGACCAAAAGGTCATTGATTTCAGCTTAGCACTGAACTGAACTGAACTACAAAAACCAGCGGACAAGAACAGAACTCAAGACCCAGAAGGGTAGTTTCTTGAGTCGAAGGTCTCTCTGTTTTGCGCTTGAAAAGTGAAAACGCAAAGAATCGAGCCCAAGAAATCAATATACGGCGACCGAGAGTCAAAAGTTAAAAAAGCCCCCGGAGGAGGCGAATTTGCATTGCCTGCAATCCCGGCTCCGAATCCCTAACCCTCTCAGTAGGAAGTCCAAAAAAAGGAAAAGAAATAAGACCAAAACAAAACCCAGCCAAATCAAATGCCTGGTGGCGTGCGATTTTTATCATTTTTCAATTTCACAGCAGACAATAAAGTTCATTTGAAATGTGCAAACACACTCGGCCATTCTAAACGAAATTTCACAATGCCCGTCGAAAGAACAACATTTTTTCAAACGTTTTTATTATTTTCTTTGGTTATTCTTCTTATTTTGCCTTTGCAGGCAATTAAATCGGTTTGACGCTTTCGCAATTTATGCTAAGCTGGCTCTTTCTGTAAATTATGGAACCGCTTTTTCAGCCGATGCCGAAGCTACTTCTGCTGACAGATCAATAAGGTTGGCTTACGAAATTTCAACTAGCTCGGGTAGTTAGACAAAGGGAAAAGCCCTTTTTGTGGGCTGGCAACCGCAGAAAAGGAAAAAACCGAAATTGAAATTGAAACCGAAACTTCAAAAGTTCAGGAGTTCTCTAAGACCAGACAAAAGGCCCAACGCATGAACAGCGTTTGTACAGGCAGAAAAATATAACATTTGATTTATAAGAAATGATTTCAGAATATAACTATTCATGAAATTAAAGCTCGGAAAGTTTACTTCTTCAAATGGCTGCTGTTTAATGGGTGTATTTAAATGAAATCTCTTCGATAAAAGCAATTATTTTGCGCTGTGCACGAGCGGTTCCCATGTATGTAACTCGATACCGCTTCTATGGGCAGTCGCCTCTGTCTGTGCTTCACTTTTGTTCGCTTCTGCAACTCATAATTACCTTATTTGGTATGCAGACAGGAGCCCAGAACCCAGAACGGAGCCACAAGGGTCTCTGCAGTTTCCTCGCTCGGCTTACGCAATGTCTAAGGGCCCTGTACCCCAAATGTGCCCTGAATACCGAATGCCTGGCAATAGTTTTGGATTGGGAATAAGTTTTCCTTTCGCTACGTGCTCACATTTTTTTCTACTTTTCCATTTCGATTGGGACCACCCGAACGAGGAGCTTTCATTCATTCACGGGGCAGCAACGTCACAGTGAAACCTCCTTTCGTAATGTCTACGTCACAGCGAACACATTTGAAATGTGCAATCTAATCGCCGGCGACATTTTCAGGCCTTTAATTAGTTTGTCCACTCGATGGTGCTGGCTTTTGGCTGTCGGCCCCCAGCACATATAAATCTGGAAATTAAAATTAAACTCCAAGTGTTTCGCCCCGATCGCATCGATCGATAATACTCGTATGCTAACCACCAGGTCTTTTCAATCCCATCCGATCGGAATCGAAATCGAATCGAATCGGAATTGGAATCGAATGGAAACTAGTTTGGGCCTCGAGTTGAATCTCGAGAACGGGGCACGTGTTGCCATCTGGACTTTAACACTTTAACACTTGTTGCTTCCAACTCGCAAATGGCCGCATAATTGCGCTCGTACTTTGTATTTATTTAAACAATATAAAATGGCATCTGCGGAATGCGCGATTAGATTAGGCCGCAAGTATTTGGACAGAAAAATGAATTGGCAGAAAGATTTGGCAGATAGGCCAAAGTGATAGCATTGAACTCTGATTGCGGGCACGTGTTCTTGGTAATCCATCAAGTAATTAAGGTCCTGTAACTGCCGATTTTCCCTGCCAACTGCCACGTGTTGTGGTGTGAAATTCAGCGCTGTCAATTGTGCGTATGATTCTGATTGAGCTCGTGATGATTATATAGATGATGATGATGTTGGCCACCCTATATTGTATTTTTTTCTACTTTTTTTCGTCGGCCTGCCCTGCTGCACTTAATGCAATTTTTTGCCTTTGTTTTAAGGGGTGGCTCGCAGGGAACTGGCTGTTACTTAATACTCTTACATCATCCACCTTGCGCTTTTCGCCGAGCCGAGCAACCCCCGAAACCCCTCGGAACCCCGTCCAAATCCCCGATATTCTCCGGCTGCAACTGCAACTTTTTACGTGTTTGCCCTGTCCCGTTCCGTTCCCGTCTTAATGAAGTTCCAGCCGAAAGGGATGGATACACACACAACACACAGCACACACTATGTGTGTGCACAAGTACTCAACTGACTTTGACAGTTGCCAGTTTTGTGTTGCCATTGTTTTTGCAGCAGGGCGCCGAGCTGGTGGGCATTATATGAAAATATTTATATAATGCACATAATGCACAGCAGCAACTGCGGTTGCAACTGCAACAGGCAGTGGGAGTTGGGATCGGATTCCCACTCGGATTCGGATTTGGAATGTGAAGTATGTATTTCAATGCGACTCGAGAAGTAGAACAATATGCAAATCCGATCGGGCGACGCCAAGAGTTGCGGAGTATAATAAACAATAAAAGCTCTTTGAAAATGTTGCAAAGTTTCCTAAGATATTTATTTAATTTCCCTACATTTTCTTGGCCAATTTCCAGACTACTTTAATTAAAACTTAAGACTTAAGACGCAAGATTTCCGTTGGCAGGGCAAAAACTTTGCATACTTTTGGCATCAAGAGGGCTCTCTCCAGCAGCCATCGCTCGTTTGCCCCTCTTGGCCCAGAACCTCTTGAACTTGGAGCCGCCAAAGCAACGCCCCAAATATAATAGAACAGGGAGCACCACCACCACCATGGCAATGGGAATGGGAATGGGAACGAGAGTCCGTGAGAGTTCAGTGTACCCCAGCGATAAGCTAATGTTGTTTTCAGACTGTTCAGTAGATATATAGAGGAGAACGGAACGAATCGGTGGATGTCAAGGCTGCGGGGGAGATGCCGGAATTGCTGGAATGCTGAAAAAGTTGACGTGCCGCCACACAAATCTCGCCTCATTAGCAAGCCGCCCCTATCACCTTTGACTGCACTGAGAAAAAATGGGTTTACCTTTTAAGAAACTCTGAATACCCATTAAATTGTTATAAGATAGATGGTTCCATGATTCATTTGCAGAATCCTCTGTAATTCCAATTTGCGAATATAATTAATGATTATAGGTAAGAGATATTTCTCGCCGTGTTACCACCCCCTTTGTTCCCCCCTCCCACTTTAATCCCACCAATGAGGGGTTGTATCTAATGCGATTTTCGCCACCGGGACAGCTGCACCGACGGAGGTGATAAGCGGCTTTCGGCGCTGCTCTCAGCCCTTTTGATAAGTCCGGGCTACTTAAGTGGCAGCAAATACATATACTTTGTTGAGCATTCAGCAACTTTCCCAAAGTGTCAACACGCCGTCCCAGACGGAGCGAGCGGGATGGGGATAGCGCGGCAGAAAGAGACGGACGATGGCGACGAAATCAATGGGACGATGGCGAGTTTAAGGCAAACATGGCAAGTGCATCCATTGAATTTGTCTAGGGACTGCGAGTTGCGGGCTACTCAAATATGACACCTTTTGCTGGAAGTAAATAATAATTGCCTTGCACCTGAACTGGGAACTGAGAACTGAAAACTGGGAACTCAGAATTGGGAACTGAGAGCTGGCAACTGGGAACTGGTAACTCGGTTTCCATTCCGTCTAAATGGCCGGCTTAAATGGCTAAGCAAATACATTTGATACGGTTCCGCTGGGGATTCAATCGATATATCGAAATCGGGCGCCTTATCAGCGGTTATGGTTCCATAAAATAAAAAGCCAGTTTTACATTACTGTAAATATCTGATAGCAGGCGATAGAGTGTTGCCAATAAATCACCCAGACAATAAAAGCGAAAAGATAAATCAATCGCTAAGCTGATTAGTGCTTGGGGATTCAGAGAAACCCCAACGAAACTTTCTAATTCATCAAAATCTCCCATCGATGCGCTTTATCTCCGATGATTTTTCCCTCTTTTCGTGGGACCTCAAAAAGTGGGTGTGTGGCATTTACGAAACACTGTCCAAACAATGACAACACCAACTTACCAACAAAACAACCAATGGCCAGCATTGTGGGTCAGGTGCAACGGCAATCGTGTGCAATGCAAATATTTGGCATAAATTCGAACAATTAATCGTCGCTCTCTGTCGCTCCGCAAATATTTCAAATTGCCGTCAAAGAAAGCGAACTTATCAGCGTGGAAAACTTCATCGAGTTGTAAAAGCCCCCGCAAAGCGTAGTAAACCTTTTTTTGTGGAGCCCTTTGAGGGGTCGAGCCGTTTGGGGGGAGGGGCTTTTCTGATAGGGCTTCGCCAGTTCTGTGCGAAAAAGCAAAACAAACTATAAACACTTGACGGCCGCATGGTTCTTTTTTGGCGCATTGTTATTATTTTGTATGCATACAGACATGTGTATATATATAGTATAGTGTGGGGAGATATAACTACGCGTAGTACGCCGTGGCGTATATTTTGAACGTGTTCCACGCCGATAAGATAGTGACGAACTCGTTTTTTATTTTCAGCCGGGAGAACTTGGCCGTCGGCTCAGATCAGGGGTTTATTGGGGTTAGCTTGGCCAGATCTTGGCCACTTAGTCACTTCGTCACTGGCATTGAGTCGGCCATAAAGGCATAAAGCCGAGCAGACCGAAAATCGATTGCGAATCGGAGATCGCCAAAAGCCAATCGAGATATCCGTGGCGTGTGGTAGACTCCTATTCCCGGTCTTATCGGCTCGAGAACTCCACTACTCTCAGGTTCAACCCGCTGCAATCCAGACGGAATTAAATCAAACAGGTGGAATGGAAGAGAAGTGACTCTGGAATGCCCTTACCAAATTCCACACGCTGTAAAGTGATAACAGCAAACAAAACGAACTAAGATGCGAATTTGCCGTCGGCTTGCGGTGTATATAAACTCTGATCTCAGCTGTCTATAAGACTAATATTGATATGCCCTGCAAGCTCGACATCATCCTCTTATCTCCTAAAAACTGCAGGGCACCGAGGAACGTGCTTTCCCAGTGCTGATTTTCGATTTCTGCCTCTGGCGTCATATGTTTGGGGACCCAATTATTTAAGCCACTTTTATTTTTCGCAACCCACTCCCTGTGTACAGCTTTTTTCATCCGCGCGTAACCTAATTATAAACCTGGATGTGACATTGTTTTCATTTAGCGGCTTTAGACGCCAACAAACTTTTGTTGGTCTGGTGATTCCCAAAAACTTTCGTACACTTTACATGAGCGCACTGTGAACCTTTTAGAGTAAACCAGGAACTTGACACGTTTAATGATAATTCAATATTTTTAATAGCAATTAGCATAATCGGGTTCAGTGCGTTCTACGAATTACATGTAGTATACCTTACAAATACATGTACTCGGTGAACTTGTTGATTTTCCGACAAGTCATACCAGCTAAATAGTGAAGTTTACTTGGCCAAGGCTGTCTGAACTCCATGAACGGCAACAAATGAGGCGAGATTCGGTTTCTGGGCTCCTCGATTGCATTAATCAAAGCTGCAGAAAAATATGTGCCAAGTCACATGTGTATTTATGGTGTTTTTGGCATTCGAGCTCGTGCCTCTGGCCAAATCGTAAATCTCAATAAAAATCTCGAGGGCCTAGATTAATGTGAGTATTTCGAGGGGTTCCGTTCGATGATCTACTCCTAATGGATCTTCTTTTCCACCTCTGCTTTTCGTGCTTATCAATCGATTTTAGGCCAAGCCCGTGAATTGTGTCTCGAGTGCTATCTCAAAGAATTTCCGTTTAATTAATAAAAGAAGCGAACAAATTCGAATTATCAAATCAAATACTGTCTATTTTTACAAGAAAACGCGTTTGGGTCTTATCGTCTTTCGAGAATATTTTCGGTGGGGCGTGGCTTATGCACTGTTTGCCTTGTGAAATGTTGAACTTGTTTATGATTCGGAAATCGGGCGGGGGACTGCGATCGAGATTAGGCACAATTACTCTGAATTAGTCGGTATTAAAGGACTTAGCTCCGTTTAGTTTTCCGTGCGAGTTGTGCGAGCGATTTTAGCGGAGGGTTGGCGCGTTTGCAATTGATTTATAACTCAGGTAAATGTCCTGAGATCAGAGCACGCCACAAACCCTCGAAAGTTTTTCGAAAAAGGGGTTGTACACACACAGGAGCACACAAGCTGATTTATCCTGACAGCTTGCATGTGTTGGTGCCATAACAAGTTATAAACGGCAATTATGGACCTGAACCTGAACCTGAAACAGAAACAGAAACACAAACTGAAACTAAAACTGAAACTGAAACCGAGACTCGGACTCGAACTCAGACTCAAAATCAACTTGGTCTTCGGCACATTCATATTTCTTGTCTCGAACATATAATTGTGCTTTTTATGTGTGTTTGGAAATTGTTTTTTAAGTGAAATTGCGTTGCGCCTGATAAACAGCCCTCCGTTTATTATATATATTATTTTTTATAGTTGCGTCTGTGTTTGTGTGGAAATTGTGCGAAAAATAAAGGGAGCGAGGAACACAGGTCATGGTATTTGCGAATTATTCCTTTGATTGCGTACGGTTTGCCTTCGGTTTTTGGTTTTCGGTTTGGGATATGGCGTGTTCCACTCTCTTCCCTTCGCACGTGGTTTAAGGATTTTCCCCTTTTCAGCTTAAAACAACATCAAGGATTTATGCCCACAAAAAACTATAAACGAAATTGTATGACTAACACATTTGTATTTCGATGAAAGGATCTGATGATTTTTACAACACCATATTTTTGCTGATATTATCTTTTTATAAGCTTTTCCTGAAAGCATGAGTCTAAATTTCTTTGGAGCGATTTTTATTCGCTTGCCTATTTTTATTCATTTATCAAAACCATATAACATTTCCTTTGAATACTCGCAAATAAAATTAGTGTGTGGCTATCGTAATGTGCGGATTTTAGGGAATTCATATCTATCATTTTATTAATTATATTCAACACTTACATCGTATACTTCTGGCCGCATTGTAGCCCCCAAATTTAAGGGTATAAATTATAATCCAACATGGGTTTGTGCGTAGTATCGTCGCGAGTCTATCATTTGACTGACGAAAGAGTTTTGTTTTCTGCTGATTTTGGCAAAGTCCGAGCGGAAATTCAGAAATCAGAATTCATACGAACTCGAATATGCATAATAGTGTTCACTGCGAGTCGGAATCTGATACTTTGGGACAGAATTGCAGCGTTGAAAATTTACAATTACACCGCAAAAAAATGCAATCAAATCCGGGCGTGTAACTCTGTTTTTGTTTTTTATTCCGATTTCTTGCAATTTGCTTTTCGTCAACCGCACTCTGTGTACTTTCAATATTTCGCCTTGGTTTGCGTATTTAATTACTTTTGATTAACAATATGTAATTGGTTGTTATAAATATATTATTATTCGGTGTATATATACTTGTATGGTATTGCACTTTTGTCAACAGCGACGCAACAACGACACGATATTTAGTTGTATTTATTCGAATATAGATTTTGGGTATTATCGCGTTGCACAAATTTGATTTATTTGCGGGAACTTCTTGCACTGTCACTGGGGCACTCGAAAATATATTTTTCAACTGGTTTTGGGTGTGCGATTTTTAAAACAAAATCAGTATCTGTGTAGCAATGTAGCAATGCACTTTTCACCTCTGGCTAATTTCTCGAACTGAATCGGTTGGCTTTGTGGCTTTGGGTTTTGGGCTTGGAATTTTTCAAAAATATTTTCCAAGGCATTTGTTGCTGGATACTGGCTTTGGTTATCCGTTGGTTTCGCTGGCAGCGATCTTTAACCGTCGAAAGGTGAAAAGAAACTGAATCTGAATCTGAGAGTCGTCGAACGTGGAGCTATAGCGTTTGTCGTCGCTACGAACCGAACCGAAATGTTCGGCTCGCCGCACAGTGGTCGAAAATGCCTGTTTTGCGGCAAAATGTTAATATGTTCTTAGACAAGAAACATGTAGAAACAAACTTGACATGATGGTATAAGTATTTACTGACAAGAAAATTTTTGTGTAGTTTTATTAACATAACATATTTAGACTAAGCCATAGTTACAAAAATTAATTTAAAATTTGGGTAGATATTTTCTCGAAGGGGTTGCTTTTGATATTAGATATAATTCTTTCCTTAGTATTTGTATGGTATTTTGTTGCTTGCTCAATGGAATGAATTCACCACTGTGCACCGCTCGACTAACATCGAACCGCCCCCGCCCCCGCACACCCCCTCTCATTTACAGTTTGTCGTTATAAATTCTTCGAGTCGAGTCGCAGACATGTCCATGTGGGTGATAGATGGTTCGGGGAAAAGGCTGGCCGGAATTCCTAGCCCGCTTTTTAGTTCCTTGCAGATCGCAGAACGCCTTAAGCTTTATTAATTTCAAGTTAAGTATTATATTTTATATGCTAAATACAATTAATAGTTATTATTTGAATCCTTGCTGATTTTATGTTAAAGAATATTTTCTAATTTATTTAAAGTATTATTCTTGGATTATTATATCAAACTAAATGTTCTCACTCCCAGAAGAAATTCAACCACAAACTCAGCCCACTTAACTTCAGTGATCATAAATAAGGAGACCGACAAGTTTGCGTCTGTCATTCCTTGAAATGTTTGCTCCATTTAGCGGAACTAGGTCTCCCGGCCAGATAATGATCTCTAGGTGGCGTCCACCTGCTCCACTTTGCTTTACCAAAAAAAAAAAAAAAAAAAAAAAAAAGTAGTAGTCACCCACCCAATTCGAATACCAAATTTCGAATGCGCCAGGAAAACGCCAGACGTTATTGGGCAAGGTCCAGTTGGCGAGCCATTAGCAAAGTTGCCCCTGCATTTTGATATTGATCGATTAGCCAGCCAGTTGTATCAGGCAGTTTTATTGATCATGCTGTAAATCAAATTGTGTGTGTTGCCAACGACCCAAAAACAAAGCACAAATCGTACATAGATTAAATTAAGCAATATTTATTTTGGTCACCGAAAGGAGAAAATTAAATGACGTATGCTATTTAGCATGCGGATAATTGTATAATATTTATGATTCATTGTAATTCATTATTTTGTTATTAGTTTCTATCGCTGTTTGATATTAAGTACGTCAGCATCTCGAGAGTTTGTCACAAAATAACCCGAGAGACCCCCGACCTTATCACAAGGGGAACTTCCCCCGAAAACGAGAACAACATCTCTGTGGACTTTGTCTCATGTTTCAATTTCCAATTAACTCGTTACCTAGATAACTGCACAAGTTTTGTGATAGGTTCAATTAGAGCAGCAGACTCTTGAGCAAAGATCTGGCCATGAATGAGTAGAACTGCTCCGAAAAAAATCCAGTAGCATTGCTCCCTGTTATCAGAAACACCACTGTGATCACGAATATTCGATGGTGCCAACTATTTGCTTACGCAAAAGATTCCGCCTCGTAATTATGACGCATAATTGGGGGCGAAATTTGAATGGCTTAGAATGCCGATGAAATGCGAGAACAATGATGAAATTGCAGAAAAATCGAAGCGGATAGCTCTGTTTATTTGTCTTGAATTCTTCGCCCCATATTGCCACCCATAAAGCTGATGAAATTGATAAAGGAATTAGGTTTTACATCCGATAAAGTCGTTGGGAATTCAGTTAACATGGATTTTATGGGAAATTCGAAACTTCCATTGACATTTAACAGCTCGAACTTGTTGCGGCTGCAACATGTTGCTTGTCAAGCTGCGTTTCACGACCAACATAGCCCTGTTATCCGGCAAGCAGTGCGCTGTTCAGCAAGGCCAAGCAGTGCGTGTCTAAGCCAGCTGTTATTCGGGGGTTTTCTAACACGTCGGCTCGATATCGAACTTCGAACATGTTGCACAACATTCTGCTTTAAGGGTGAAATTAAACATGTTAAAATTCGCCTAGATAACAATAACACAATTTAAGCTTAAAATAAAAGTATACTATATTATATATTTATATACTATATATATTAATGTAAATTTCGATGTCCAAAAATTTGCATTTGATAATAAAAAAAAAAATATTTTAAAAATAACTTTCGTTTTGATTTTTGTCCTCAGCTACGTTTGCCGGGGAAAACAAAAATGGGCAGTTCATCGAAAGTGTAATATTGTAGTAAAACAATTTCTTGTTTTTCCAGGTTACCCGATCAACTGGCCAAGGTAAGCCATCCCACCCAGATTGTGTTTATCGAATAAAAGCAGATCCAACCGCACAGAAAATTCCAAGTAGCCACAACTGCATAATCGCAGATAGGATTCTTATTGTGGCAGTGCGGCCCTCGTTTTATTTTTTTGGCCAGCTCAGCAGGGCATAAATGGCAGTGGAAATGTCTGTGGCGCCACGTCGCGTCAAAGTGAAAAAATGGCAAACGAGAAAATGTGTGAAGTCTTCACGACTGCGGAAAACAAAGAAAACGAATTCAAATATTTATGAGGATGTCAGGTGTCCTGACAAGTCAATTTTGGGTTTTTTCTCCTTGTTTTCCCAAGCAAAACGCAGCCCTCTGATTTATGAGTCTGTGGGTGTCCTTCCGAGACGAGCTCGTCATATCTGATGCAAATGTGTCACACTCACGACCGAGAGATAATTCCCGCTTTTTGGCCCAGGCGCGAGTTTAGTCCCCTTTTTCAGCGGAGAGAAAACAAAAACCCTGAGAAATATTTTAATTAAAATTCACTGCCCCAAAAAAGAGAAGAAACGAACGAAACTACCAAAACCACAGGCAGACAGGATAAACTTGAGCCTAAAGCCGAACCACCGCCGCCTGATCTCAACTGATAAACGCGAAAAAACCAACAACAACCAACAACCAACTGCAAGAGCGGTCCAAAGGGTAAGGTAAATGCAAAGGTGGGCGTTGGTAAAAAACGATCTGCAAAAAATAAGTAAAGCACAAAAGGAGACAAATGCGAAGGGGAATGGTTTCCAAAGTGACATTGCTAAATACTCTTAAAAAATATATAGATGAAATGAAGGTTAAAATCCCTCAGAGTTATATATCTAACTTTGTGTACAAATAACAAGAGTGTCTAAAGAAAATACATAAATATCTATAAAAATATAAAAATAAAATGCAAAAACTAATCAGGTAACCCCAACATTTTGTAGGGCATCAAAGTCGTAGCAATCGCCGCGTTCCGGGGAACTGCAAGCGATTGTCCCTGGACGAGAAGTGGTGCCGAGTTAACCTTTCAACGCCGATGGTGTTGCTGATGGGCTGAGGCTGCTGGACAGTGCAGCTCCGCAGGATAACACATGATCAATCCATGGAACTCTCCTTCCCGAGGACCCGAGGGTCCCCCAATTTACCGCTTCGCATATCGCACGCATCTCCTTCACTTTTATTGTCTCCGGGTTTGTTTGCTTTCGTGTGCAGCAAATTCAATTGAACCCACAATGCGCAATGAATATTTTTCTGTTTTCGGTTTGGGAACCCTTTTTAATTACCGAAGAAGAGGCACCCGTATTTTGTCTCTTTCGGAACTGGCCAACTGTCGAATCGAATTGGTCACTAACAAGAGTTTTGTTAATGAAAATGTAGTCAACCCCCTTTTCCCACAATTTTCCCTAACCCTCCAGTTCATTTTCCGTTAATTTATGCGTTGGGCATCATTGGGTTTCCATCCGAAGTGAAAGTGATCGGAACTTCTGTTAACATTAACGCGTGGCTGACTTCTGTTTGATCTGGTGAATGGGGTTGAATGTGATGGAGGATCCTATCCCAGATCCTTGATTCCGATCAAAACTGCTTAGCAACTGTTAACAAATGAAGTGAACACAGCGAAGACCTCAGACAATTGTTGATCCCTAAAGATAACAATCGAGTTACCCCTATAGTATGGAAAGTTCCTCAAGCCAGGGTTGGTTCATTTCACTTTCCAAAAAAAATTTCTAATCTAACAGGCTGACAAATTTTCGAGTTTGCCGCCGTCTGATGATCCGCACCTGAAACACGTGTATTTGGGCAAACAATTAACAAACCTCCAATTGCGATGTGAGAAGTCTTAACGTGAAAACAATGGCGATGGTGATTTGCGATTTGCACAGATTTACATAAATATAAGTACGTTTAATTTTATGCTTGTCAATAACGGAAATATGCGTAAACACCGCAAGACGAAAATAGCGATCGATGGCCAAATCTTTATTTAAAAATAATTGCAAAATAAATGTTTTTTATCTTGTCGTTTCCCGAAAAAGCTTAGCAAATAAATTCCGGAATCGCACAAACAGCAAAATTATTAAGAAGAGACGCGTGTGATCCGAAATTGGTAAAATCATGTATCCCCTTTAATTTGGAGCTGGCGCCAGTCTATATACGTTATATTTATGACATTTTACGACTTCTGTGAATCAGCATCATCAAATCGAGATTTGCGTTTTTAATATTTTCGCTGCGAATTATCGCTCTTTTTTCGCGAAAGGTTAAGGCCAAGGCGAAAAGGTTAATGTGTTTCTAAATGCCTTGCTAATTGGCGTGCGGTTTTCGCACCAACAAAAGGGTCTCCTCTCCTTGATTAAACAGGCAGGTATAATAATTTTAATAGAAAACGTATAATAATTAGTTTCGATTGGGCTAACTACGGGTCAACTCAAGTAGGTCAAAACATTTTCAAAAGCTGATCTCAATTGTTGGTTACTTATCACACTTATTGGAAGTAAAAATAATAAGACAGATCACATATAAAAAATGAAAAAAAAAAAACAAAATTGGATACAAATTGGAAAAGTTATGGGCTTAGAAGTGCTGGGGTCTGGTCATTTTTCGCGATTTTGATAAAGGGGGACATCATAAAAAATGGCAAAACATTGACCAAAAAATTTAAAATAAACTAATGATGCAGCTAAATATATATTTTAATAGCAATTTCGAAGAGGTATGCCACTTGGTAATCGAATAAAAATTGGAAAAGTAATGGGCTTAGAAGTGCTAAGTTTTGGTGACTAGCATTTAAACTAAGCAAATGAATATTTTTAGAAAACGTTTAGCACACTGTTTTACATTTAGCCATCTATTTACTGAATAATTTACAAGATCTAAGAAAGTTGTTTCCGAATATAAGACAGAGATATCTCCGCCTGTCTATAAATAAGACGCTTCCTAGTTTGCATCTAAATATGTGGTAATACACACCTCCAACAAAAGCCATTAGCTTACTAGTCGCTTCATTACAAGGCCATTAAGTCGAAGAAGCCACCAGACCGTGGTGATCATGCCGATGCTAATGCTGATGCCGCAGGCAAATATTTTGATCGACAGTTGTAATTTGATGCGCAATATATCGGCGTTTCCCACCTACAAACAGAAAAACAGAGGCGGGTGAAAAGACACACGTATCGAAAATAACAAAAAGCGATGTTAGAGCCAAACATTTTCATTAACCGAACAACTCATGACACCCACAACTCCGATGCTGTTTGCACGCTCATAAGAAGCGGGCTCATAATTCATTGAGCCAATAGCCAGCGCATTGGTAGCTGCTGTGGGCCAAGAAGAGATGCCTAAAACGCTGAATGAAATATTCGGGGCTTTGCCTTACCAATTTTCGCCGCAGTGCGAAGTGCCACAGCCAACGACGCCGGATTATAAAATCTCTTCTCGCTTATAAATACCCCACTAACCAAGAGCCCAAAACCGAACCCGAAAACCGAATAAATCTCGAGCTGACGAATTTCGCGCTGCGACTCCTTATGATATTTAACTCAAATTTGCATTTGTCTCCGCAAAAAGCCAGTTATGCATTCCTCTTCTAATTAGTGAACTCCGATCACTTCCATGGGAATTTGTCTGGAAGTTTATTGGCAGTAAAGCTAATTAGCACGGGAGGCAAATATAGACAACAGGTGGCCGATGTCTCGTGGTCAGAACCAAATCAAACGAGATTTTGCTTAGTTTATTATCTAAAATAAAACCGAAAAATAAATAATGTTCTAGTTCCGGTTGTGATTAATTCAATTAACACTTTCTGTATAATTTTTGATTAGATCATGCAATTTAAACTCTGAGCTAAATAGGTTATTTTTGGAGCACTGACCACGCTTATACTTTTAAAGTATAATATAATTTGGGTTAGTATATAATTACTAGAGTAGGTATGCTAGTCTATCTTCCCTTTCCCAATGATAACGATGATCTTTCAGCATCGGAAACCGCCTCCACGTGGCAAACTAATCAACTCAGCTTGAAGTGCAACTGCCTGCAGCCTCTGGCCATCCAGTTGGCCAAGTTAACCAAGTTCAGGAGCCAATGGCCAAATGAATGGCAATCGGCTGGCAGTCCTTACAGGGCAATCAAGTGAGAAAATTAAAATTACATGACCATGGCTGCTCGACTGCGGATCCGGGGATCCGCCGATCCCACATTTAAAGGTTCATAACTTCCAAGTCAATTACGCGATGCGCCCGCTGCGAGATTCTGGATTCTGGACTCTCGTTCGAAGTTCTGGGATTCCTGGGATGTGAATTAGAAAAATTGCACGCTCAAGTGGAAGAGAGGACCTCTGGTTTAGTCTGGTTTGGCCTGGACCGTTCTGTTCTGTTTAGTTCTGTTCAGTTCTGTTCGGTCTGACTGACTGACATAACTCACGAGTGGCAGACGCGAAAGCAGACGCAGATACTGATGCAAGCAAACACAGATACGGCCTCCGCATTTAACCGCTGCTCCGCTGCAGGTGAACTAGACAAGCAGGAGCAGATCCTCAAGAGCACTCCACAAATAAAAGGGACTACTGTGGGAATCATGCCGATCTGGCCAGAACCCAACCGAACTGAACTGAACAGAACACAGGCTCGCCATCAGCGAATTAATTTGTGACGCGCGCTCTCCACGGAGCTCCGCCACCTTCCCCTCCGCGTCCTCCGTCCCAAGGGACCCATACCCATGGCCATACCCATCCCCATCTTCTTGGCCAGCCATCCCAGTCCAGTTCCAGGTTCCCAGTTGCCGTCGAGGAGCCACGGCCTGGAGGCAATTTACTCTCTTCGCTCGGCGGTGCACGCTGTGGTAGCCAAACTCGTGACTGCAACAATGCACAGTGGTTAGAGGGTATTGAATATGTCCTTCCAAAAATTAAGGAATAGTTACCTTACCTCAAAAGTTACCTTAACAAAAAGGTTATTGCACATGATAGATCAATAATGAAACGAAATAAAATTTTGAATATTTTTTTTATTCCAAATAACACATAAGTTTATTACTTTATTTTTTGAAATGCAAAGGTATTGCACTTTTGATACCTTTGAAATTTTGCTTACCTCTTTTTACTCTATTTTGAACCACTGTGCAGCGGCGTGCTCGTCTTCGTCATCGTCGTGTGGCAAGTGGCTGCTGCTTGACTGCAGTTGCAGTTTTGGCCTCTGCTCGAGCCTCATCTGCCTGAGCTTTTACTTCTTCCGAAGCTCCCTCTTCTGGGCCCAATTCTTCGCGGCCCTCTTCGCGGTCTTCTTAGTCTTCTCGGTGTTCTCGGTCTTCTGGGTCTTCTTAGTCTTTTTGGGGCATCATCTTGGCGGCTTTGGCGCTGGTGTCAAACGTTTTGTAATCTGTCACGTCGCATCGTTTTAATATTTGTGCGCTCATGGCCCAAGTACGAGGAAATGCACTCGGCTGCGTGTAAAAATAGGCGTAACCCTTCGGTATTTATGGCCTGGCCGGCTGGATGATCCCACTGTTGCAGTCTGGGCCATCCTCCCTACAGTCTGCACTGGAGCACAGTGAAGCATCCGCGGCGGCGCTCCCCGGTTCGTTTTGTTTGGTTTTCAGCAGCAGAATCCGATGCCTTTGGGCCTCGTTTGGTGGTAGCAACAGGTTCAAGTGCTTCGCATCGCAGTTGGTCTTTTGGTGGCTTTGGGCCAGCTCCTTGGTTTCTGCCTTCTGCCGCTCATCCAGTCTCTGATTATCTAAATCATTATTAGTTTGACCTTCAGCCCCGGGCTGGATCCGCGCTCGTGCAAGTGCTTCTCTTATCTTATTAATTATTTGCTCTTTATTGCGGGTGGAGTGGGTCGCTGGACTACTGTGCGTATGAGTCATCTGAGAAAAGCCGATGTGGGGAAATCAAAGGAATGTTGGAGGAGGAGAGAAAAACAAAGTAACTGGATGGGAAAGGGAAAATTATGTAAAATCTGTAGATAAATAAGAATTGAATAGTTTCTAGCTGATGTAAACAAAATAAATCACCTTATTTCTAACATAGAATATACATATAATATAACGAATACGTAATTAAAATAATGATATACTAATAAAGATGTTAGGATCAATTTTTAAAAAGATCTATATACTCTGAATGTTCTTTGTATTCAAGGTATTTGCATTTCCGTATGCTGAAACAATTATTACCGAAAAAACGAAGAACGGGAAAAAGAACGCAAAAGCTCAGCTCGAAATATTTCATCTGGCTGTCAGCTGATTCGTTCCTGAGATCCTTCACCCTGTTCCGTTATAATTAGCCATCGCTAATTACCACTTTCGCGAAGACCACCAGAACGTTGACCCACTGAACGAAAGAGTCTTCTTGCTCAAATTCGATTCCCACCAGCTGTCCGTGGGGCATTGAGCACGCAGCTCAGCGCGTAAGTTGCCGACCCTACTCAAAAGCAATAACCAAGCAGAATGCATCCGAAAGATACCATACAGTAGTTGGCCATTACAATGCCTGACAACCTTTAATCAGGCGCCACAAATCAGAAGAGAGCGAGCAGCACACACACTATACTATATAGTATACTATAGGAAGGGGGATTTCCCTGGCTCTCTGATTGGATATTTAGTTAGGGAGAAAATGGCGCTGCAGAGTCTGTGATTTTCCATTCACTCGCCGGATTCGTGATGGCAGCCGCTTCCCATTCCCATGACTGCTCCTTTGTCTCTGCGCGAAAATATTGACACGATCAGCCCCGATTTTGCACGCGCATGAGAATGGATAAGCTAAATATACACACTCGTAAATACCAGCGAATCGAATCACATTGTGATTGTACATTGTGTGCTCCTACCAGTAAAGTGCCCCAATTGCCGCCGAGGATGCGTGGGTGGGATCGTGCTGGAGTGTTAATTGCCCCAGACTCAATCAGGTGGAATGGAATGGAATATTTATGAGGTTGGGCAATCGATTAGACAAAGTCCAGCCCTGTACACTCTGGTCGGATCAATCGTCGGTGCTAATTGAGTTCGAGACTGCGAAAAGAACTGGACAAAGGCGGAAGTGGTCGTGACTGCCGAAAAGTGAGTGCGGAACAGATGTAAGGCTCTCGATGGAGGTGTAACTTGAACTGGAGAAGCACAACAAGTAGAGATCATAATTGAAGTGATAAAATCCAAAGCTCACTGTTAAAGTAGATAGTTATGATACTTTGAAACCTGCTACCAAAAATGTTATTCAAAAACCTATGCAACGGTAAAATATATACTTATTTCAAACTCAATAAAAACAAAAAAACCACTAAAATTAATCTTAATCTTTCCTAGTTCTAATCAAAATTATAAGATCATTTTTCTATAATTAATCCATCCAACCTTTCACTTTCCATTTCATTCCTCATCTCTACCTTAAGCTAACTGAAACTTTTAAGTGACTTTCCTTTCTCTATATCTTTCAGATGATCCTTCAACCTTCTATCAATCTTCTCTTGCCTCTGCTACTAATGGCTATCCCTTTTATAAAAGCTGAAAGTCTAAATCACATTATAAACGAGCTGAACAAACGTTTACTTATCACCACAAACATTTTATATTGCAACCAAACCAACAAACTAGAAAAATTCGAGAACAAGTATCTCCGGCATATGCCACTCATCAACCTTATGATCTTCACCTCAACTGAATCCTTTAACATCAGCCAACTTGAGTATAACCTAGGAGCTGATAACAAACTCTTTCTAATCCTGTGCGATGAACCGCCCTATGATTTCTTTCGGGTCTTAGACTTGCACTTTCAGCACGCTGAATTCGTTTTGGTATTGGATACTCCTTTGGATCTGGAGAGCGACACCAAGTGGTTCGACTTCGTAAGACACCAATGGCAGCAGGGTTACGTACAGTTTCTGTTCTATACCTCCCACGACGAGAAACTCTATCACAAAATCATATTTCCTGAGTTGGTCATAGAAGAGGTGTCCATAGAGACCTATGCATCCTTCCGCGGAGCATTCAGAAACTTACATGGATATCCGATTCGAGTGGCTGCCTACAACAATGTTCCGCGGTGCATGCTTTATACAGATCGATGGGGCAAGAAGGTGATCTCAGGGTTCTACATGAAGTTCCTTCGGGCTTTCATCCACTCCAGGAACGGGAGCTTTGTGCCGGTTCTCACGCCGAGCGATTCCCCCGGAAATTGTACGCTGAACTTGAGGAACGAAACGGTGGACGTGTGTTCAGATGCCCTGGCTGCCAATCCTGCGGCCTTCAGCCTGACCCACGGATTCAGGATAGCCTCGGCGAATGTCCTGGTCACCCATGCCAAGCCCCTGCACTCGTATCGATATCTCACCGCTCCGTTTCAGCTGAGCGTGTGGCTCTGCTTGGCCAGCTATGTGGTGCTGGTGGTGAGCTTCCTCAGCTTCATCCACTGGTTCAAGTGCAGCAAGTGGGACTTCAGCAAGCACCTGCTCGAGGTGTTCAGCTCGCTGCTCTTCAGCGGCTTCTTCCTGAAGGAGATCCGCGGCAGGGAGAGGTACATCCTCTTCGGAGTTCTCTTCATCGCTGGCTTCGTCTACTCCACGATGTACTTGGGACTGCTGAAGAGTATGCTGATCTCCGAGGTTTTCGAGAGGCAAATCGACTCCTTTGAGTCGCTGGTGGACAGTAATATCACCCTGATGGTGGATGCTTACGACAAGACGCTGTTCGCCAAGTACAACATGCCGGAGATCCTCCTCACCATCATGGAGGAGGTCAACTCGGAGACGCTCCTGCGGCACAGAAACCGCTTCGATCAGGACTACGCGTACATCCTGTTCTCGGATCGCATGGCCCTGTACGACTACGCCCAGCAGTTCCTGAAGCACCCGAAGCTGCTGAGGATCCCCATCGACTTCTCGTTCCTCTACACCGGCATCCCGATGCGGAAGAGATGGTTCCTGAAGGCCCACTTGGGTCGCGCCTGGTACTGGGCCTTCGAGAGCGGACTTACGAGGAAACTGGCCCTGGACGCCGACTTCGAGGCGGTGCGCGTGGGCTACCTCAACTTCCTCGTCACGGAGCACCAGGAGGCGCAGCCCCTGGACGTGGATTATTTCGTCATGCCGGCCATCGCCCTCGGCGTCGGCTATCTCCTGGCCCTCATCAGCTTTGTCATCGAGATGACGGCCTGGCGCATGAGCGGATTCCTCGGATGCAAAATGAAGATGGAGAAGAGTGCCGGTTGTCCAGACAGCGCTGATGGTGATTGTGATGGTTATGGTGATGTTGATTGAGTGACGGATTGATGTTGTGTTGTGTGCTTTGCATTCAGTGCTTTTTTGCCATTCTCTTGATGTCTAAAATAAATCCACAAGTCCTTGTCTGCTTATTAAAAGAAAATATGTTGCAAAATAGAAAACTCTTTAAAACAAGAAAGGAAGCTAGCTTCGGCAAGCCGAAGCTTATATACCCTTGCAGTCATCAAATATGTCGAACAAAATGCATAAAGGTTAAACAACATCGAAGCTAAGACGATTTTTCTATTCATTTTCCATATTTTCGACTATAGATCATATGGGAGCTATATGATATAGTTGTCCGATTTTGATCAAATTTAATTCGTAATTCAAGAGTCGTAAGAAAACTCTATATTCCAAAAATCATACTTGTCTGATGAAAAACAACGATGTTATCATTTTATTTATAAACAAATCTATATAGTTTTTTTGATCTTTCTTATGGCAGCTATAAAATATAGTTGTCCGATTTTTATGAAACTTTTTTCTCAATATAAGGGTTGTTAAAAAACTTGATGTTCAAAAAATCAAGCTCGTGGGATAGAAAACAACGATGCCATCAATTTATTTCCATTAACTCTATACATATATATTTTTCGATCTCTCCTATGGCAGCTATATGATAGAGTTATCCGATTTTGTTCAAATTTAATCCGAAATTCAATTACAGTTAGAAAACGCCATCTTGAAGAATTCAAGTCGATCTGATCAAAAACAACAGAGTGAGAATTTTTTATTTCATTCTCTTGTATTGGAGCTATCCGATATAGTCGGCCGATCCGGCCCGTTCCGACTTATATACTGCGTGCAACAACTACACAACTTTTGGGAAAGTTTCAGCACGATAGCTTTAAAACTGAAAGACTAGTTTGCGCGGAAACGGACAGACGGACAGACGGTTGATAGTCATGCTCAAGTAACAATAAACTTTGAATTACAATTATCGAACTCTTTTGCTGTTTATAAAATGTATTACTAGTTATCTGACCCCCACTTAATAAATTTTTGTATCTTTCAGATGATTTTCAACGTAAAAAACATTAAATGGATGCTTCTTGTAATTGTACAAACAGTTCTTATTAACGGAGAAAGTTTGTCTCACGTAATAAACGAGCTGAACGAACGCCTTGAAACCTCCACTAACATTATTTTCTGCAAACAATTTGATCAATTTCAACTCGTCGAAAGCCCCGTATCGAGAATCATATTCACCACTACGGATAACCTACGTATTATCAGTCTTAGAAACCACGAGGGAGCAAAGAAAAGGCTCTTTATAATAGTCACTAATGAGCCGCCATATATACTTATGCTAAAGCTTGAATCGCGATTTCAAAACTCTGACTTTCTTATAGTGATCGATAATGAAATCGAAGAGGACAAATGGAAGCACTTCTTCAATTTTGCTTGGCAGCTTGGATATGTCAAATTCATAGTTTACTCCCTGCACAGCAGAATTGCCTATGATAAACTATTCTTTCCAACATTAAGGATAAGGGAAACCAGTATCAAGGACTATGCAAACTTTCGTGACTTTCGGAACGTGGAAGGGTTCAAGGTTCGAGTGGCGGCCTACAACAGCATTCCCAGGAGTTTTATTTACCAAGATGCCAGGGGCAAAACGATATATGCTGGGTACTATCTGCGATTTATAAGAGCCTTTTTAGACACCAGAAACGCGACCTTTCATGCTGTTTACCCCTCCGATAATTCCCCAATGAATTGCGTACTTTCCCTCAGGAACAATACCGTGGATCTGTGTGCAGATGCTCTGGTTCGAACGCCTAATGTTTTCACCATCTCCAAGGAAGTCAGGCTCTCGTTTGCCAATGTGATTGTGCCTTCTGCCAAGCCATTGAGTTCTTTTCGATACCTTTCTGGTCCCTTCAAGCTCCAAGTTTGGGGTTTGCTCCTCATGTACGTGATTCTAATCACGGGATTTCTGTCTCTTATACACTGGATAAAAAGCGAAAGATGGGGCTTCACCCATACTTTACTCGAGGTGTTTAGCTCAATTTTAAACCTCGGATTTCACCTAAAGGCGATTCATGGAAAGGAGCGCTCAATACTCTTTGGAATCTTATTCTTGTCAGGATTTGTTTTCTCCACCATTTACTTGGGGTTCCTGAAGAGCATGCTCATATCTGAGGTCTTCGAGAAGCAAATAGAAACCTTCGAGGAGCTGCACGAACAAAACATTCCACTTCTAATCGATCACTATGATCGCACGCTCTTTTTGAAACTCTATTTTCCAGAGCCTCTGTGGGCCGTCGTGCAATCGGTTTCTTCGGAGACTTTGACCAACCGTCGAAATAGTTTTGACACGGACTATGCCTATGTGATGTTTCCAGATCGAATCGATATGTTTCACTATGTGCAGCAGTACATGAGACATCCAAAGTTCCGGAGAATTAAAATTGACTTTTGCTTCTTGTTCGCCGGATTCCCGATGAGCAGGAAGTGGTTCCTCAAACACGATCTGAGTCGGGCTTGGCTCCATGGATTCGAGAGTGGCTTGTTGAATAAAATGGTCGAGGATGCGTACCGCGAAACCGTGTTGCATGGATACCTGAAGTTACCTGCCCCAGAAAAACTGGAAGCGAAGCCTTTGGGCCTGGATTATTTTCTTATGCCAGCGCTTTCCTTGGCTCTGGGTTATTTTTTGGCTTTATTGAGCTTTGCACTGGAATTAATTACTTGGAAAATTCGTAGCATTCTTTATTAAAATTTTATTTATTAGATATTTGAAAGAAAAATTACCTAACCAGCTTTTTTATTATCATAGATGTGTTTTACAAATCTAGATGTTGTCTTACTAATATTTTTGCTTAATAAAGAAGTTTTAAACATTTACTTCATTTCCGGATTTACTTTTTTAAATCATCCAACCAAAAAGACAGGTAAACCCGGGGATCAAACTTTTATGCTGGCGCTTATCTGACCAATTTTCCTCGCAGCTTCGGGCAGTATCCAAAACCCACCCACAGGCACCCCATAAAACCATGAGATGGAAACCACCCTGTGGCCGGGAACCCTTCAAAATAAATAGCACTTGAGATGTTTCCAAAACATTTGCCAGCCAAGTCTCCGAGCAATTTGCCCAGCCCATTGTATGCAGTCCGAATGATAACACAAAAATAAGAAGCTGGCCGGGAAGTAAGGGGTGACTTGTCCCAAAATGGAGCTGACTTGCACAAATATTTGCCGAAAATGGAATTTTCGACTCGGAGGCGTGGGTGGAAACCTCCTCACCCCCGTCAGTGGGTGGATTTTTCCTCGGGGCAGCGCATTTTAAAGTTCGTTGACACTCGAGCCTGGCACATTTTCGTGTGTTTTGTCGCTGTGGCGCCATTAAGTATGCAGCAGCAATGTGGCGACAATAAAGTTTATGCCACGGCGCCATGGCCAAAAAAAGAGCCAAGTTGCAATAGCCAAGGATAAGCAGATGGCCTGGAATGCACTCAGTGGGAGTATCAACTGTAGCAAAGTCGTGTGATCTAAAACACCATCATCAGCTCTTCGGGATTTATGTGCACTTTAAGAAAAAAATGCAAAATATAAACTGCTAATATTTGAATTCGATGAATTGCAACGTTCAGAAAATTACGAAGTTTAAAAATGTAAAGGAAATGTTAATGAAAGTTATTATTTTGAAGGCAAGTGTGATTTTGTAATATGCATTTATTTAATACTGCGGTATTGTGTTCTCTGTGTGGCACAGTTTCGAGACAATGGAGTTGGCAACCAGTTTGTATCCCGGTTTGTAGGACTCCTCTTAATGAGTGGGAGGGTTCACGTGCGTGCCTCGCATCCATATTGCAGAAATCGACAATAAACTCTCGCCCTTCAGCCGCTTTAATTGCCCAATTCGTGTGTTTTCAACGCGCTTCGAATCGAATCGAATCGAACTGAATCGATTTCGTGATTGCCCGATCTGTATCGGCTTTAAAGCAAACATTTGTTTTTATCTGGGGGCGGCTTTTAATTAAGATTGCGTACGGCGATAAATGGCAAGTGATGCAGGAGTTCCCCGAATCCCGTTCCAATTGAGGGTAAGTAAAGGGAACTCGAAGGCTTGTCCTCTTTTCCTTGCCTCTGCGTTTTCGTTTAAATAAATATTTATTTTATTTATAAAATTTTATTTTAGCTCACACGAAAGGAGAGAGCAAGCAATTACCCTTAAATACAAAAGACTAAATATTGTTATCTGCTTTTATGTTTTTTAAAGCTGTTGCAATTGTTTGAACACTTTTGTTCTCTTTCATATTTTATATTTACTTCTCTGGCTTTTGGTTTCACCTTATATTTGCTTTAAGCCTGGTGCATCACCTCCTCCCCCTCCATTGTTACCTCGCTTTTCCGACCGACAGTTTGAATGCGTCTGCTCCTGATCCGTCAACTCTTTTATCAGCCAGACAGGACGAGACCGTAAATCACCTGGGGAGCAGACAAAGGGACCTCGACAACAATTGAGAGCTCGGCCTGGTCGGAATTGATACCAGTATCTCTGATTGACTCGATGGATTTTGGCCCGCCCTCGGCTCCCTTTGCCGGCTAATTGAAATGACCAGGTAATTGTCGCCGCTTTTCGCAGCCTTTGCCACTTTCGTGGGGGCTGGGTGCAAAGTTAAACACTATTATTTAAATCAATGCCGCGCTTCCCTTTTTTGCGCCGCCCCGCCACATTCGAGTATGAGATGGCAATTTATGGGCCGTGCCTAATTGTCCGCACCGGACTTCAAAGTGGCCTCGCTCCTCGATCTTGGCCAAGTCCGTGGAATGCAATTATCGCGCTCCAAGTTATGCTAAGATAAATGGCCCAAGTCCGGCACAGTCGGTGGAAATTGGCAACACTTTCCAGTCGTCTTTCGCGGCCATAAACTAAACAAAACGAACGAAGAAACGTATGAAAAAATCGTGTGAGTAGGGAAAAGAGATAAACCGCACGCAACTGACAATTGGCAATTTTTGGTTGATTCAGCAATTTATGGCAGCAAAAAGGGGCGGGGGTGTGTCACTGGTCTCGAGTCGTCGGCATGACCAAAAGACCCTCATAATGATCTGGTATATAACCCTTAAAGGAATCACACTCCACACTAGAGGAGCTACATATATATTTATAAGAATTTGTCTTTGGTTCGGAAGCTCAATTTGGTACCTTAAAAACATACATTTAAAACATAATAAGAAACTAAAATAAATAATCTAAAAGAAGATTTCGCCTGATCTCCTTTTTAATTATCTTAATTTTATTCCAAAAACTGCATCATCCTTTTCCACTTTTTCCCCAATCAGCTCTCAAAAATGTACCATGAAAAAGCCTCCTGCCACCGCTAATCGAATGAAGATCTTTTGCGGACATCCCTTGGAGCGTTTGATGGCACTTTCGCTGGATGCCATTTGGCCATGTCTTTGGGTCAGTCAGACGCTAAAAATAAGGAGTGAGGAAGGCAGGCTAACCAAACCGTCCGTGGCACAGCCGCGAAATGAAACGCTGTCCAATTAAGCGCAACAAACAACTTTACGCCACATGCCACACAACAGGCGTTTATCGGGCAGTCAGATCAGATCCCAGCCGATCGATTCGATCCCTGTTCCGTCCATCGGGCCACATCCCGAGCCTCCTCCTCCTGCTCCCTCGAATCCATCGCGATGCCATTGTAATGGCCAACGATTTGTCGCTGTCCGAGCCTCGGACCCTGGGCCATAATGACAATCGTTGATCGTGCGGCCCCGATAAGATTGCACAAAGATAAAGCGCCGATATCGGAACCCGAGGGCTTCGGGACAAAAAAAAACGTAAGGCGATGGGCGGAGGCGACAGCAGCAGCATTTATGCTAATAAGTTGACATTTGACCACCATGACGAAATAATGAAACGATCAGGAGCCGTCAACGTGACAGGTACTTCAAAAAAGCATTACCATGGGCGATATGTGTGGTATACTATGAAAATATCTAAATAATTATCACAAATTTAATTTACTTTATTTACAAATTTAGTTTCACTTTAGTTGAGCAATATTTAAAAGTTTTAAATCAACAATTATGTATGGTTTCCTTATCCCATTGTATTTTAAATGGATTTTGTTAGAACCTTGGATTGTTCGGGATCTGATTACACCCACTGTAAGTATTAAAGGTTTTGCCAGGCAATCTCGACATTTGTTTTGACACAGGAGCAGGCCCACAGGCACCGCTTTGCACGATGATCACTAATTTCCTGGAATTTCACGCGCTCTCCTCGCTTATCGAGATGCAAATTTTTGCCGGCTTTTATTGTATCTTCACACGATCTGAGCCGACTGCTTGTTAACTACCATAATTTGGTCTCAGCTTGATCGTGTCGCAAATGAATTTTAATTGTTGTACTCGTTGTTGCAGTAAATTAGCAATAATTTACAAATTGCTCAACATGTCAATGGAAATTTATTACGTTCTAATTGGCGTTTTGCTACAAAAATACAATTTTAGTTGCAAAGTATCCAGCTACTCTGCATGCTCTTCGTTAAAGTGGGGTCTGCTATTGATGTTCGTATAGTTTCGCTGATAATTTTGATACCGGTCGTAGCCTCTTGATTTCTGCTGATACCCTGCTGATCTGTGGTTTTGATACACGTCGTTTCGATATCCACGTTCCTGCCGATTGCTGCGGAAGTTATTCCCAGTCCAGTCCTGTTCCTGATCATAGCCATATAGCTTTCTCGATCCCTGCCAATCTGAACTGTTATCCCTGCAGTTCTGGTAGTAGCTTCGATTATCCTGTCGGTTGTCTCTGCTGTTCTGATAAGGGTTGCGATTATCCTGTCTGTGGTTCCTTGGTTGGCATCGCTCATCCGAATAATTTCTCGTTTCTCCGTTGATCCAATTGTGGCTGTTATTATGGGAATTTCCGTATGGAGAATATCCTAAAACGTAAGCACACCATGCGGGATTGTTTTGAAAAATAATTGAAACTCTAGCCAATAAAAGAAAGCTAACTTTAACTTTAAAAAATCATGGAATCATTGTTGTTTTTTTTCTGCGAAATAAAAGTATGCCGAAAACCGAACTCAATTTAAAATTGTTTAAGCTGGTCTACTGTTGTAATACATACTGAAGTTATTGCCACTTTGGAAACTTCTTGCTTGCTGGCGCCAATCTTCATAATTGTGACTGGACGTCTGCTGATGTCTGCTGTTATATTCGTTATCGTTGACTCTGGAAAGAGAAGACCCCTCACTCGCACTTCGATCCGGTAGATTCTTCAAGGATTGCAAGTAGTTCGGGCGCTCGATCCTATGGCCACGGGCAGCAGAAAACGCTGCGGATCATATACAGGGTGTGAATAGTTAAATTGAATTGCCAGGATCAACTCCAGGACCCTACGCACTCTGTATCGCTTCCTCGGGGGACGTCTTCATTACGGAGATCATGAAGTAGCAGATCAGGTAACCAGTTCGATTTACTCCGTGTGTGCAGTGGACTCCAATTAGTTTGTCTGTAGGATAAAGATAAGGCGATTTGACAATAAAGCAATACACTTTAATTGAATTACTTCTTATAACCAAATGCTATTTGTTGGCCTCCTTTGCCAACCGAGTTTTGTGATATTTCTTCCCCGTTTAGAGGCAATGGCACAGGCTTTCTGCAATGCCGCATGCTGCTGCAAATTGCTACAAATTTCATTGCAAACACGGCCACAGGAATGTCCCTCCCCGGCTCCCAGCCCGCCAGTCCCGCTCCACGCCCATTTGGTAACACCCACGCGGCGAGACCGCAACAGAAAACCGGCCTGGCAATTTGGCATAAAAGCAGAAGCGACCTGGGCTAAATCTAGAAAACAGCGCGCTCTGCCAATAATAACATTGGCTATAAATTTCACAAAAACATGTCAGCAGGAGGGATTCGCGAGGGGCGATCGGAGGGGCATGGACAACCCACCAGGTCGCGGTGGCCTGCCTTTGTGCACTATGCGGGTGCTTTGGGCTTCGGGACTCGGGTTTCTGGTTTGGCTTTGGCTTTGGCCTGGTTGTTCGATTCCCTGGTCATTGGCAGCGAACCAAGCTGCCAGTCAGTCAGTACGTCATGTTTAGCGTGCTTTTAAGCCAACTTACAGGCAAAACGAAAAACGAAATTAAATTACGAGAGCGCGCAGCGCATCCTTGTCAAAAAATTAACAGTGGGTGTATTTTTTTTTACCATTCCCAGCGTTGACAAAAATTATCTCAGAAAAAATAAATGATAAAGCTCCTGAATACATAGAATGAAAACATGGAAAAGGATAATGTTAATGAGTTCAGAAAAATATTTTACCAAAATATTATGCAAAGGTTTAAGCATATTTTAATTTATAATCTCAACTTATTTCCACTGTACGTAGACAACGGCTTTGCCTTGTTTTAAGCCTTCTACTCTACCTCATTGGTCGTTGACAAGTTGCGACCACCTTGGATTTGATTTGTTTCGTTGTAAATATGTTGGCAGCCCTCGTGTATTTATTTATTGTTTGCTCTACGCGGCTTTAAGCGGCGCCAGATCGTGTTTTAATTAAGCCCTAGAACGGCATCAGAATCTGCTAAGGCATTTCGGTTGGAATTTTTGCATATTGTAAGGCAAATCGGTTCGCACATATATTAGCGCAAGATGAAAGTGCCTGCGAACCAATAGGCGTCTCTCCGCCCACCAACCCAAAATATTTTCAAGCCAGGACTGAAGTTGGGATACCCTAGGCTATTTTTACAACTTCATATAAAATCAGTCAACTGGATTTAATAAAAACTTTGATGCAGCATATTCATAAGCAAATATTTTTGGGTTCCAATTTTCTTGACTCGTCTTGCAATTATGAAATATATTTAAAGATCGACCTACTGAAATTCCTTTTTCCCCACTCGCTGCATGACTAAGCTCCGTAAGTGATTTGTTTGCCCGGCTCCCGACTGGCAGACAGATTCAGCCACAAAGGCCAAAGAACTGACTAGCTGACTGGCTGACTGGCTGACTGACTGATTGAGTGTGTGCGCCCACATCGGTGCGCCAGTTGGCTGTTAAAGGGCTAAATAGAGTATTTCTCTTTGCAGCCACTTGGCCGCGAGCGCATTTCACCGCTTTGAGCCGTGTTTGCTGTGCGCTTGCCGGCTGATAGGAATCTCTGGAGGCAGTGCAGCCCGGGATTAGGATACGTGGTAATTGCGGTTGCCCCTTTTGATACTATTGCTTGCATATCTTACGGCTCTAATTGCGTGGACAGATATGCATCTGAATTTGCATTGTTGACGGGAAAGCGTTTCCCACGGCTACGTGGCCCAAAGATCAAGATGTGTGGGATGTCTTGTCAGCACTCACCATTATCTGCATTGTTGGCAAGGAAGTCGGCCACGTAACTGCAAAATCTGTAAAGAAATCAAGCGAATATTGACCAGTTTAATCGTGTATAGACATATTAAAGCTAATTAAATGTTATTTGCTTTTACATTTCTTGAGTCTTTTTACTGAAACAAATTATTGATTTAAATTTGCATGTGAGATAAGTTAATATAAATCTTTGAGGTAGAAACTCCTAGATTCTGATTTCAAACTAACAGTTATTATGAAAGGATTCTTAGGTATATATTTAATTAATTTACAACAGTTATGCTTACTGCTCTGCCAACCGACGTGGAGGCGTCTGTTTCCCGGGGATCATCAGTTTTTGGTGGCGCACATCGTGGTTGGTCAGGGAACTGGGCTGATAGTATCGGTTCGTGTTGGTCAGATCGATGATGAGGCCCAGATCGGGAATGGACTGGAGCAGGGACTCGGGCGCCAGGCGAAGGCTCTCCTCCACCTTGGCGTTGACATGCTGAAAGGGAGCAGGTAAGCAAATACACGAGGGCATTACAATGCGCGGCTAAAAATTGCTCAATTTATGCGAACTGCCCGAAGGGCATGCAATTAATAAAGGCAGAAGGCCTCCGCGGAGCCGTGGCGTTATTTAATTAAGCAAAAACAATTTAATTTAATATTCATGTGGGGTCCATGTTCCAGTTGCCACTTTTATGCATAATTATAATGCACAAATTTCGTCGTCGTTCGTTTATTTATTTTTAGAGGGCCGCGCAATGTCGGTGGTCCTTGGTTTTCAACGTCCATCAATCGGTCCTTCTGTCAACCGGTTTCTTGGATCTCGGTTATGAATTTGGAGTGGGGGCTGTCGTTGACTCACCTGGTGCAGCGGCACCTTGAAGGCTATGAAGCGGGTGCCGGGAATACGCTCCCCAATCGGTTTGTAGTTCAACCATCTGTAAGTTCCGGATAAAACGTAAATAAACCGGAAACAGTGGTTTCCGTGGGGTTCCCCCACCTGATACATCTAAACTCTACTCACCGATCTGGTATGGCTTTGGCCATTCTAAAAGCCTGGATTCGAACTTAGTTTACCTTTCTGGGAGTCACTATTTGTAAATATATGTTCTATTTTGGAAAATGTGTTGTAATTAGAGATTAGCGATGGTACCATTGTACTATTCACAGGTGGTAACTATCGATTCGTATTGGTCACACTTAAATATCGATGCTCGAAACTGAATCGATAATTGAAGTGACCATCAAAAATAAAAATATCGTTATTTTGGTTTGGTTATTTTTATAAAATATAAAGCAACCATACTTTAAACCTTTGGACTTTGTTTTGTTGTTGTAGAGGTAAGAGCATTAAGTAAATATTAATAAACTTAATTAATTAACCTTATCCATTCCCGAGCAGGAAAAATACTACCAAAAATGTTCGCAAGCAACACGCGTAATCTTATGCGCAGCAGCATTGTAAGTGGAAAATTGAGAAATTAAAGATAAAAAGCGCAGGCGCTATTTGCTTAAAATGAAGTTTGATTTAAATAAAACTGAATAATTTGATTCCTTATTTGCAGCTGCAGCGATGCAAGAGCACTTTGGTTGTTGCCGAGCACAACAACGAGGCCCTTAACCCGATCACCCTGAACACTATATCCGCGGCCAAGAAGATCGGTGGTGACGTCACAGTTCTGGTCGCTGGCACAAAATGCGGACCTGTAAGTTAAAAAAAAAAGTCCTACAATATTGGGAGCCCTTCAAGAAACCGCCTTAATCGCAAAGCTATGGGTCTTTATTGAGTTGGAGTGAAAAAGCAGCCAACATATGCCGGCAAACATGTTATATAAATACTTGTTTTTACTCGCACCTAATAAATATTTCTTTTTTTCCCAGGCCTCCGAGGCTCTTTCCAAAGTTGAAGGCGTGTCCAAGGTTCTGGTGGCGGAGAACGCTGCCTTCAAGGGATTCACCGCGGAATCGCTGACTCCTCTGGTCTTGGCCGCCCAGTCCCAGTTCAAGTTCACCCACATCCTAGCCGGAGCCTCGGCCTTTGGCAAGAACGTGCTGCCCCGCGTAGCGGCCAAGCTGGACGTTTCGCCCATTTCGGAGATCATCGATGTCAAGTCGGAGGACACCTTCGTGCGCACCATCTACGCCGGAAACGCCATCCTCACCCTGAAGTCCAAGGACGCGGTGAAGGTGATCACCGTGAGGAGCACCAACTTCCCGCCCGCAGCCACCAGCGGAGGAAGTGGTGCCGTGGAGCAGGCTCCGGCTGGGGACTACGCGACTAGCCTCTCGGAGTTCGTCTCCCAGGAGCTGACCAAGTCCGACCGCCCAGAGCTGGCAGGAGCCAAGGTCATCGTGTCCGGCGGAAGGGGCCTCAAGTCCGGGGACAACTTCAAGCTGCTCTACGATCTGGCCGACAAGTTCGGAGCCGCCGTGGGCGCCTCCCGCGCTGCAGTGGATGCTGGCTTCGTGCCCAACGATCTGCAGATCGGTCAGACCGGAAAGATTGTGGCCCCAGAGCTGTACATCGCCGTCGGCATCTCCGGCGCCATCCAGCACTTGGCCGGCATGAAGGACTCCAAGACGATCGTGGCCATCAACAAGGATCCCGAGGCGCCCATCTTCCAGGTGGCCGACATCGGCATCGTGGCTGATCTTTTCAAGGCTGTGCCCGAGCTTACTGGAAAGTTGTAAGGCGAGATTGTCACGTGATGTAGTATAAAGATACGATTATGTACCATTGAATCGATAACTGTTGCATTTATTTGAATTTCTGCTAAGTCCACGGAAGATTATCCTCTCAAATTTTGTAATAAAACCAGCCGAAGACCTACTCTATGTATACATGGCGCAGTCTTATCAGTCAAGAAAAAAGACAAACAAAATAAACACAAATTTCCTTATCAAGATCGCTCCATATGGTAACTTTGCCATTAGCTTTCATTAAAAACTTTATAAATTAAATAAGAATAACCAAACCAAAGCTAAAAGAACGATAGGTTTTAATTAAAAATACGATTTATTTACACTATCGGTGTAGTTAATTCAGTTAAACTACTATTGACATAAATTCTTTAAGTTCAGTTCGTAAATCGTTGGTATATTTTCGGTATTATCGTGTTAATTATGAATCGTAAAACCATAAAAACTAGAATCAAGCCAAAAATTACTCCTATGACCAGCGTGGTCCACTCCAGAGGATTTAGGCTGTTGCTAGTGGGTAAAACGTGTGTGTTGATGCCGCTCTTGAATGGGAAAATATTTAAATTAATCATTTACCATCATAAATTTAATGAGAAAGACCCACCCAACCGCCGTTCTCGTTGATCCAGGGCACCAGCTCGTCCTCGATCACCTCCGAAACGCTCTCCATCAACTTGGGCAGGTATTCCGGGTGTCCTTGGCGCACACAATCCACCGACAGTCCGCCGGCGATGGCAAACAACGAGATCACCTTGCTCCAGGTGATCTCCACCCGGAAGAGCTCTCGACCCACGGCTCCCAGGAGCAGGCTCACGGCATCCGGAGTGTGGAACTCTCCGCCAGGACTCCGGCAAATCTGACGAGCGACTCCGTTGTAAACTCGCGGGTGCATGCGCTCTAATTCGTCGCCCAACTGAGGAATAAATTTACGCAATTAAAATATATTTGTGTAGTAAATAAATTAAATTTATTACCACTTGAACAGCTGGAAATACATCCCGCACTATGCCCATGGAGGTGGATCCTAGAATGCTACGTATGCGTTGTAATCCCAGCTTTTTATTGAACAATCCCGATCTTCTCAGACGTCGCTTGATATAGTGACCGCAGAGGCAACGACCCTTGGGGATAAGAAACATATTTGTATTTAGGATAATATCCCAAGTTTAACATCTTATTTTGTAGAAACACCAATCCACCTGTGTGATGATGTCCTGCGCTGGAATCTGGGCGGCTTTCCAACCAATCGTATAGGACAACTTCCTGGTGACCGCATCGCTCACGTTGCTCAATCTCCTCCGGGTGGTCTCCTTTGGGCCACCACCCACTTCCAAGAGCGATGCGGAATGCAGTGTGGCGGGAAAGCTGAATTTTCTCCGATTCTGGGCCTGCAGCAACCGCTCACTTTGCGTGGTGGCCATCGGAAATCCGTTGCTGAAATTATCATTATTCGTGGGATACGAGGTACCAGGCATTTTTTCGCAGGCGAAATCGGTTGAGATCCTAGGGGGAATTTGCTTATAAGTACGGCAAGAGTTGGCAAGACTAAAATCATAAGATAAAAGCTAGTGAAAGATCCAGTTTCAGTTTTTAACGATCCCCCACGAAGTGTGGAATAGAGTGCCTTGTAAATTCAATTAATTGCATTCAATTTGGCAAATCTTCGCCGCTGGGAATAATAACCAGCTGCAGGAAAAACCAGTCCCACAGTTACATCAAAAATAATTGGCTTAATACATAAATGTCATGTTTAGCCGATTGGAAGCCCATAAATGTCGTCCGAAAATGTTGAATGAACTCTGAAATCAGATTATAGGTAAAGAGAACTCTTCCCACGTGTACAAGTGCTTAAAGATCGATACACAGAACACAATTTATAAATATTATATATTAAAAAAAATCGAGTTACTTAATTATAGCGTTACAACTGACAACATTTTGTAAGTTCGTAAAAATAACTATAATAACTGAATAAAATTATTTTCAAATGTTGTTTCTTAACTTATGAAATGCTCTAAGTTTTTCTATGTTTAATTTTTGTTTATGACGCTCCACAATGAATGTTTTCTTGAGCCTGCCCAAAATGGTCACCTCAGCGGACAGATTGTCGGCTCGTTAGGTTTGATTGGCTTCTGGCTTACAGCGGTCAGAAATCCGCAATATGGCCAAAACGCTGCTGTGTCGCAGCTGTTGTCATTAGTTGTCCACAAGCGAGATGTCAAATGGCAAATGATTTGTGGGACGCCGGCAAGTGAATCGAAGATGGAACCGAGCTCGGATCAATGGACACTGGTGGCCCATTCCCCGGAGAGCACTTCGCAATTAGCTTTACATAACCTGACCCACTCAACGCACTCGTGACCAAGGAAAGTCTGTTGCTACAACGAAATCGTGGGGCACTTTTCGATTTTCGGGGACTACTCGTCCATTAAAAGTGATAGCTGCGAAAGTGCGAGCGTCCAGAATAATTTGGTATCAAATGAATCCAGGTCATAGGCGTCACGCCTTCGTAAAGCCAACCTAAAGCCTTTAAAAAGAGTATCACTTTAGGGCCGATCAGTCAGTAATTGGTCAAAATGTCAACCAAGTGGACGTCTCTAGTCGCAGCCCTTGTGGGATTACTAATCATCAAAGGAGCCCTCGCGGATGTGGCCCACTACTTTGCACCTGCTCTGGATCAATTCGGAAACTATCTCCATGGCCAAGTGCCCTTCCAAGTGGGACTATCTTCCCCCCCATTTGTATGGACCTCCAGCTGCGGTTCCCGTAACTCCTGCCCCGGTGGCTCCGGTCTCCACCACCGAGTTCAGTCTGCCGGAGATCATCGAGAACCGCAGTGTCAAGTTTCAGGGAACAGGACACGGCAACTTCATACCCGTGAGCCAACATTATCTGCCGCCTGCTGTGGAGGAGCGTCCCAACTACGAGAGTCCCAAGCCTAGGTTAGTATAACACCTATAATACAGATACTTCTTCATTTAATAAAGTAAGTGAAAGAGTGTCTAAAGATCATGTTTCATGTCTAATTCATCTTTTGGATCATTAAAAATAATTAAGAACTTGACCCTACTCCTAGTAATCGGATTGAAAGCTCTTCAAATAACATCTCGCATCCATTCTTTAGTGAGGAGACCTATCCAGCTTACTACTATCCCCAACCGCCAGGAGGCAGCATCTTGACCACCTCCACACCCACATCGACCACCACCTCAAGACCCATCATTGTTCAAGATCCTGGCGAGGATATCGAGAACATTCCCTCTCCTGGCTACGATTACCATGCTCCAGTGGCTGTTTTTCCCCAAAAGCCTTCCACTCCTGCTCCAGTTTATTTACCGCCTAGTGATGGAAACCAGGATCAAAACCAACTGAGACTCAGGCTCAAGGACATGCGTTGCCTCTCGGGGGCTTACTTTCGAGCTGTTCTCAAGTTGGATAGTTTCCTGGGAGCAGCACCCACTGTGGATCAGGATAACGATGACCAGCAGGACAAGCGGTGCGAAATGAAACTGTCTCGAAGCTTTCTGCTGCTGGATATTTCTGGAGAGAACTTTGAACGCTGTGGTGTTAAGTCCTGTGGCCAGGATCTCTGCCTACGCCTGCGATTTCCCGCCATCAGGGGGTTAAGAACCGGAGGAGATTCCATCTTAACCCTGCATTGCAAAACCCAAGAGAGAGTGGCTGTGAAAACGCATGCACTGAAAATGGGAGTTGCTAATGATGTGTAGGTTATAGTTTATATTCAAAAAAATGGTGTTATATCTTAACCTTGTTTAACGATTCTTTAGACAAGCTCGCAGTGGAGGTAGCTATGCCCATGGTGGCAATCAGAATGCCTTTCGCACGCATGTGGAGTTATTGAGAAAAGGAAGTACTGGTTATACTCGACATTTGGAGAGCAATGGTGCCGTCCAGTTGGGCGAGGAACTCTTGTTAAGAGCCCATGTTTTAGCTGGAGATGGTAGGTATTCTAAAGACTAATAGTAAGAGATTTCAAAGATTTACTTTTTCAATAACCAGGTTGGAACTACACCAAGCTCAGTGATGTCCAGTTGCAGAGGATTTCAACAGGAGGAGAAATCCTGAATAATGTTCAGCTAATCAGTTCCAGGGGTTGTCTTAATCCCGCAATGCAAGCAATTTGTGGGCATGCCCCCATTTTGGAGCCTCCCCTTGGCCAAAGACTCCACTTCAAGGCCGTGATGTTCCCGGGAATGCGGAGTGGAGATGTGCTGGTCATCTCCATGCGAATTACTGGTTGTCTAGAGCGCGAAGATTGCCAAGTTACAGCTCAAGATTGCCTGCCATCAGTGGGTCAACGGAGACGACGGAACGTTTCACATGGAAACTCCACCGAGATTTCGGAACTATCCCATCTAACATTCAGGGTTATAATGCCAGGAGAAGAGGATGTATTTTCGAAAGAAGGAGATATCCAAGATGTAAATGTGAAGGTCAGAGATGTATCCAAATCCCTAGCTCTCTTTGGTAGCTTGGGTTTTATAGTAATGCTGTTGGGTGTTGCCATTGTGGCTCTATATAAATTTGGAAAATAGTAAAATGAGTTTATGTGAACCTCTTCTTAAATAATATTAATTATCTTTGGTGTTAAAAAACCATACCCTCTCCAGGGGTATAAAAATCTATTAGCAAATGAAATACATAATTCCCTCATTGTAAAACTGGCCATTGGAAGCACTCTACAAAATCTCCATCAATGGCAATCGAAGGCGCCAATCTGCACCACTGAACCACTGAACCTGTCTCTTATCCATCTGTCTGCCAAGCAAATTGACTTATCGCCCCACTGGAATCGGCAACGAGCCAGTGTTTGCCCATTTCGAGCCTAAAACAGAAATTAGCACTTAATAAAACTTTATTTATGTTCATGTCGCTTGTAATTGAACGGGCCTGAGAAAAAGTCTCAAAATAAAATGTAGAAAACCTTTAAAGAGCCAGTAGGCAAACCAAAAGTCTGACTGATTTCCAAACTGCGAGCGCAATTCGCAAATTGCGATCTGCGATTTAGTTTTGGCCAGATAGCCAAACCGAAATTCTATCACGTTTTCACGCTTCGAGTCCGGCTAATGAAACCTCGCTCGCAGCCGTCTTTTGGCTTTGTTATTTGGTGCAATTTGTTGTCGGTTTTCGTATATGATAATCCATCCATTTGGTGGCTGACAGTTTACGCTTAATGGGCATGAAAATCGCAGCCAATTAGCCGTTGATTTTAGCCGCTTTTGCTCGATGGGTGGTCGAAAGTCAACGATAGTTGCAATTTAATTACTCTCTGGGGGTTTAAAAGATAGATGCAAAGGTATTTTGGAATTCGGTTAATCGCTTGGTTGCCTTTAGAAAAATGTATTTATTTATTTTACTGAATTAAAACTAATACTGTAAGCTCTTTGAATACTTTTTATTCATCGCTTGGATGATAATAAAATATTTAAAAATTACTTTAGGCTTACAGAGGAAATTCCTATAAAAGAATCCCATCTCTTTGCATTTTCGCTGACCTAACCCAAGCGTAAAATGCATTCCCACAGCTGAGATCATCGACGGCTCGCCGAGATGCCCTCAATGGCATCCCCATCCCCAGTTCCAGGGGAATGTGGCCCGATGTTTCGCAGGCTTCACCTGCGACGTTGGCTAATTAATAATCCCGACACGTTCCGGCACGAACACAAACAGAATCGGGGAAATCGGGGAAATCTGGAGGGGAACTGGCCGGCGCAGGCGAGGCTACTTTGTCTTTGTCGCCTAAATGGCAGGCAAAATGTTTGCTGAACATAAATTAATGTCGTCCCCAACTGGCGCTTAAGTTCGCCTGAGTTTTCAGCTTGGCCGCGATCCGTGTACTCCACTCGATGAAGTGAAGTTGTGGTGAGTTGGCAAAGGCGCACTTGCCGCTGCAATTTACACTTTTCATTCAGCAGCCAAATCGGCGCAATGGTCCAGTGGACCTGGCCTAAACAATTTTCATGTCTGCTTAAATTATCGACTACTTAGTGCCCGGTTTAGCAATGCCTAATAAATATTTATGAGCGCACTTCATTTTAGTAAGTTTTTAACGGACAAGCAAAACGCGACTCTCTGTTTGTTTTGCGGTTCTATGAATGGATCGGTGTTCATGACTGCAATCGCCGATGTCGCCGATCATTAAAGGCGGTTGACAATACAGAAGAGCCTAATTAAATCATTAAGTTCCCTTTATTCGATGGATGAAGAGTAAAATATATATAACTCATATACACCAGTAATTCCTTTAATTGGATTACTAAATGTCTAACAGATTTATGCACAATTAAAGGGGCTCCCCTCTTGAACCCATTTATACAATGCTCTCCCATTGGCCAGACTCTAAAAAAATAACTAAATCAACATCTCGGAATCGGCGAGTTGCTGGCACTCATTAGCAACTTTTATTAACCAAAAGTGTCAAGTGTTTTATCTCGGGTTTGGATTGGCCCAAACCGAGTTGCCTTTAAAGCGTCGTTAGGCATTTCGATTCATTTTTTTGTTTTGCCATTTTTATTGGCTGCCCGACTCGTTTTTGTTGGCTGCGTTTTTAGCATTGTGAGCATGTAAACATTTGTGTTATTGATTTTTTACAACATTTGACAGTTACGCAGACTCCGATTGGAATTGCGTTTATTTTTTATATTTTTCCTTTGCCTCGAATTCGGAGCGCAAGACAAACGATTTGGAGCAATTTGACTTTCGGTTGGTGATTGGTTAATCAAATCAGAGTTCATTAAATTGCCATTTTGCATTTAATTGCATATTCGATCGCCGGACAGGCGTGACAGCTTGCTGTAATATTATATCTTAAACGACACATCAAGTGTTTGAAAATACTTAAGTCTATTTCAGCCGCAATCTTGCGGCTTTACGGTTTTCTCTGTTTTGCTCAGCTTGAGGCAGAATGAAAATGGGAAATTAGTAGTAACGTCCCGGCTTGACATCGTTGGCAATTGGAAATTTACACCACCCTCAGGCGTTACAGGTAGCAAACATTGTTCAGATCATTAACTGTTGATTTTGCACTTTTGCAGCCGCCAGTTTGCGTCATTCAAATCGATCGTGAACGGCGTTAAAACATGAGGTTTACAGGTTAGGGGAAGGGCAAGGTGCCACAGGTGCTTTTCGCCAGTTAATTGCATTATTTCCACAGGCATTGTGATATATGTACAAGTAGTACGGTCTGATCTTGTTTACGGCCTTAAAACAGTTGCGCTCACAGATCTTAAATGGTTTTGAAAATTAGTAATGCAATCCGGCCATATAATTTAAAAATAACTGCACTGCATTTAGAGTTAAATGGAATAGTGAGTTCAACTCACTAATATTAACAAATTAAAAGGTACTTAAAATGAATAAGTTTGCAATTAAAAGGCTCAAAAAATAAAAAACTAGTTTATTTTTTAAATGTAAAAAATTACAAAATTATTACAAACAAAGAAAGCACCTAATTGTGGTAAATGGCCACAATAAAACCATATTGCACTCCAAAGAAATCTCAAATTTCCCAAACAATCATTGAAATACAGCACGTCAAAATGAATCAAGCTCAGGCATTAATTTTCGCTTAGGTCCATAAATAATTTTCCCCGAATAGACCCACAAAATTAAAGTGTCCAACGCCTTTGTCAATAAACATTTGTCGTTCCACTAATTGCCAACGTATTTCGCCGCTCGGCAAACAAACAAACACACTTAAAAAACGAAGCGAAAAAACAAAGTGAAATCATTTATGGCAATGTCAATTGCTATCTCTTTCGGCGGTGTAGGTGGAAGCATTACGCAGATTATCCAGCAAGAGAGCAACAACAAAAGCCGTATTACACATTAACTGAGCACGCACACAAAACAGCAAAATTTAATTAAATTAAAATTGCTGTTGGTCTGTTTCTCCTTCAGCTGTTGATTTTATTCCGGCTTAAAAAGGGCGTTCAACCCTATGGTTATTATTTACTTGTACTTATTGGTATTTAATTATTAATTTTCTTTATTGATATTCTTCATTGTGTTTTAAAAGAGGTCAGCGTGAATTATTTTTTAAAGGTCATTAACATTTGTACACTCTTGTGTAAGTTTTATTTAGGTTTCTCACATTTTAATTGATTTATTTGTTATTAAATTATTGCAATATATATTTTTATATCTTCCATAAGATTGTCGTTGGGTAAATCTGCTAATTTTCGAAGCATATTAAATATCACCACTCCTTTTATCGGCTTATCATTTATTTGGCAATGGATCGCATTGATACGGATGTTTATCTTTGATTGTCGGATGCGCAATTTGCTGATAATGATAATGGTTCATTTGCTATTATCTTTTTTCCAATTCAGTTTACGACGAGCGAATAATAAGGGAGAACTGTTAAACTCCAGCTGAGCAGCATGGAAATTACTCAATTATTTATGCGCGCCGCGTTCTGGTTGAAAATGGAATCGGAATCAGGTTGCTGAATATTCACGGTCAGGCTTTGTCAGTTGAAGGTTTCCTTTTAATAATCACCGAAATCACCGGAAACCACAAATAATTTATAATGTTGATTTTTGTTAAAGAACTAACCGTTTATTTTTTAACGAAAGCAGAGGTTTGAGAAGCGTGGCCGAAAAGCGCTGCCGCAACGTTCCGAACTCGCCAAAGACTGAAAATGAATTGAAGTACTCAGTTCAACTGAGCCCGAAAACGGAAACCAAAAATCAAACTTACCGCGTAATCGACTGAAATCAGTGTCATCTCTAAGTGATACCGTTTTTGAATTTTGTTTTTGTCTGGTCTGGCCACACTGATTTTTGACTCGAATTTGTTTACATTTGGTTTTGCGAATTTCTGCGTTTTTTTTTGCAAATTGTGGAGTTTTACGATGGCTGATGATCCAGAAAACTCAGTGGACCGACCATCGGAGGAAGGCGATGGAAACAAGATGTTCACCCTGAAGAAGTGGAACGCCGTTGCGATGTGGAGCTGGGATGTCGAGTGCGATATTTGTGCCATTTGCCGCGTTCAAGTCATGGGTAAGTAAATAATTGTTTATTTTTAAGTTTTATCAGTCCTAATATTACTTAAAAGGTTCCCAAACGAATTTAGTTTCCCCTGGCAGCAACTGCTGAAAATCAAATTCATGTCAAATCCATAAAGACAAAGGGAAAGGCAAACAATAACAATCAGCAGTTTATACCCTTTCAAAAAGCGTTACAACTTTTTGAGCAATCTTACAACATTCAAGCAATTGTGCTTTATGGCCCTAATAATTAATCATTAACATTAGTTTAGGAGGCAAAGCATAAAATTATTTTGAGAGCCATTTGGGAATTTTTCTAATCGATATTATAAAAATAAAAAATTATTCCAAACGTCGACGTTCTAATTTTTTTATCATCATTAAAGTTCGGTTTTTTGGATAGTATGGATTCTTCTAATGCTAAAAAAGTGCACTAACCAAATCTTTGCCCAATTCACATTTGCTGATTTTGGGTTTCCCAGTTAAGTTTGCCCAATTCAGTTTGCCCAATTTTGTTGGCCCAATTCTGTATTTCCGATTCGCTTTGTGGAACTCAGTCGTTGAACCCTCAATATCTCTGGCTGAGCCTATAAGAAGCAGACCTATATTTATTCAAAATACTTTTACAAAAATTAATTAAAGCTTTAATATGTTTGATGGGCTCAAAGGGTTATCTAAGAATCCTCTATAACCACCAATAACGCATTTTATTTGCGTCATTGAAGGGACCTATCACTTGGTGACAACGAAATGTATTTTAAAATCAAGTTTCAAATCAGATGTCGATTGCATGCGATTGCATTACCAGTTGAAACTGACTCCATCAATGAAAGGACTTAACGCAAATCAGTTAAATATTATACTATATCACCTATTTCTAGAGGGAACATTTCATAATCGTCCAGTCGTTACATGGATGCATCTTTCGCAATTGTTTATTCGATTTTGCAGCCGCTTAATTGTCTACCGATAAGACTCGAACCTGAACAGATCCGATCCGCCGCGAGGACCATGTAATAATGTTCCCCCTTATCGAGGCGATTCGGTCGAGCGTCAGCAGCGCGATTTTCGCGATGATTGCCAGTGCAAAATCGAGCAAATGCGTTTCTATTTTTGCATTTCATGTGCCTCTGGAATGGCCATCTAACCAATCGGTATATAGACATTCATATACATATATTTAGACCCGAGTGCGGGGACATATTCGGAATGAAACTCACGTTTCTGAGGCGCTGACATTGTTCGAACTGTAAACCGCATTCTGAAGGTCGTATGCAAAGCGTATTTTCCCACTCAATTGTAGCGATTTTTCGACGAAAGTAAACGTAACTTGGATTTGCTTTGATTTGTATTTTAAATTAGTCTACATATAGATACACTTACGGCTTAGATATAGTACAATATATATTCGATTTATAGCCAATTGGTGTATTTTCAGGGAGATTGTATGTTTCTTGGGGGTTTCTGTTGCACTACAACTAACTACGATTCATGTCATTTTTTACACCGATTAATATACGCAACATTCATCAAAATGTCAACAAATTAGTGCTAGAAATCATAATTTACATAATAAAACTATGCACTTAATGATTTTAAATAATAATAACAGTTATGCGTGTAGAAAGGAAATTCTTTTGCTAAGCATTACAAGTTAGCTAGGACTAACAATTTTAGAGCGCCTCGACGGGGGTCCTTGTAATGTTCTCTCGTTCCGCGAGGAGCACCCACATCGCTCGCACGTTTCTTAAGCACTAAAGGCACTAGTCTAGTATTTGGTTTGATCGCGTATTCAGATCCTTGGCAACACGCCGTTTACATGTTGAAGGACAATGGCTTGATGTTGGCCACCGAGGACATGCGGCGCACTCGGCCCATCATCTTCCGCTCGATGTCCTCCAGCGTCTTGCCCTGCGTCTCGGGCACGTAGATTATCACAAAGAAGAGGCCGATGAAGCAGATGGCCCCGAACACCCAGAAGGCTCCATGGGCGCCCATTGCAACTGCACATGGAAAAAACATAAACACATTAACAAACTTTTTCCTTAATCATCCTGGAGTTTGCAGTACTCACCAGTCATGTCCTTGAAGGTCTTGGTCACCACAAACGTGCAGGTCCAGTTGAAGGCCGTTGCCACGGAGGCGGCCGAGCCGCGAATCTTGGCCGGCAGAATCTCGCCCATCATCAGCCAGGGAATGGGCCCGAAGCCCAGAGAGAAGCCCAGGATGTAGACGACGAAGCAGCTCAGCGGCAGCCAGCCCAAGTGGGAGACATCGGGACCGTGCACCTTGCAGTAGAAGAAGCCACCCAAGACGAACAGGGTCAAGATCATGGCAATGTTGGAAACATACAGCAGAATCTAAAAGAAGCAAAAACCAATAAGAAACAGACTCATTTAGTGAGCTTCTTCGAACGCACCTTTCTGCCAGCCCGGTCGATCAGCACGATGCCAATAAACGTGGCCAAGAAGTTGACCACACCCACGATGATCGTGCAGACATTGCCGTCGATGGTGGAACCCGCATCCTTGAAGATCTGCACCGTGTAGAAAATGACCGCGTTGATGCCGCTCAACTGTTGGAAGAACATCAGACCCAGCGAGATGGCCAGTGGCTTCAGGTTGTTGCGCTTCAGCAGCTCCATCATGGTGTTCTGCGTGGCCTGGCGATCGGCATCGGCCTGGGAGCGCATCAAGCCCTTCAGCTCCGGCTCCACATCGGCCTCCTTGCCACGCAGCCAGACCAAAGCCTTCCTGGCGCGCTCCTCGCGACCGCGGCTCACGAACCAGCGCGGTGTTTCCGGGATCATGAACATCAGGATGAGGAAGGGAACGGGCAGAGCTGCTCCCAGGAAGGCCAGCATCGACCAGTCCATGTAGGTGCCCGCCACGAAGCAGAGTAGGATGCCAATGTTGCCGAACGCCGTGGGCAGGAGACCCAAGGTGCCACGCACCTCCGGCTGCACAGTTTCGCCGAGGTAAACGGGCAGGGACAACGAGGCAATGCCCACGCAGAATCCGGCCAGGAATCGTCCGCACAGAACCATGGCCACGTTCACGGCACAGGCGATCAGCAGCGAGGACACGATGAAGGGCACCGCCGTGGCCAGGATGGTGTTGCGCCGACCCAGGTATTCGATTAGAGGTCCACCGGCTATGCCTCCTGCCAATCCAGCGAGTGGCATGATGCCACCAACCCAGGAGCCCTAAAAGAACAAAAAAATTCGGGTGATTAGATAAAAATATAGGAGCTTTTTATGGGTTAGGTAGAAATTTGAAATCGTTTTCTAGAGAAGAATTACATCATATGAAAATTGCAAGCTTGTTTTTAAGCTCTCCGTAATATCAAGAACTTTAAGTAACATATTTCCTTGAAAAACGAGAACAAAGAGCTCAACATTTTCCTAGGAAACAGGTTGTTGTCTGCGTAAACTGTACTTACAGCATCTTCGGTGACCTCGAACGAGGTGATATTCCTATCGGTCATCGACACAAGAGCAGGGGAAGTATAGGCGCTCGAAAATCCGACCACGAGGGAACCCAGTGAGACGCTCAAGGCAGCCAGGACCTGGAAAGATAAGGGTTCAAAGTTAGATTAGTAAAGGTAACTGCTTCCTAAAGTGAATTTAATGTGAAGTGTATGGGAAAATCCTTAAAGCACCAGTAGATTAGCAAACAATATACGGAATTAAATGAGTTAGGCACCTGGGAGAAGGTACAAATGGCCTTGGGCTCCTCCACGGGCACGGAGAAGGACACATGGGTGTCCGCGCGCATTAGGATCTTCATGATGCGGATGTGACTCTATCTGAATCGCGAAGTGAAACCGTTTTTGGCTGGCGAAACGAGGTCGCCGATTTAGCCGATTAAGCTGTAGCTTGCTCTAGCTGGCTGGCTGGCTGGCTGGCTGCCTTTCACTTAGCTCCTTGGAATGGAATGCTTTCAGCGCGTTCGCTCGTCAAAACTCAACTGAAACTTGTCATTTTGCCCGAGTGCAGCGGCAGTTGCATTTTCGCTAGTTTTTCAGTTTTGAGAACAGTTTTCGCCGTGATTCTATGCGGCTCAGGCACGTACACGAAGCCACCGAATGGCTGATCGATCGATATCGCCAATGCGAGGAGAGGGAGATTCTGATTCTGTTCTGTTCTGTTCTGTTCCCAAAGCGACTGATCAAGAAGCGAGCTTATCAGTTTGTTTTCCTGCGACAAAGACAATGGCGATAAGCCGGATTTCGAAAAGCGGTTTGAAGCTGTTTCTGATTCAGTTTCAGTTTCAGCGAACGTCGCCAGCTCGAGTGCAAACTGCAACTGCCAAACATCGGCGGAAGTTGCAGGCTCGACTGTCCGCGGTGGCTCCTCACCTCTCCTGTATGCTCAATCTATTCCGATACGATCCATCCATCAGCCGGCTAGCGGTATTTTTAGTCCGGCCATAACTAAATGCGTTAATTTCAATTAAGGCAAGAGCGACTCAGACTTGCTATGAGCGCGGCGGCGGCATCGTGCGAAAATAGCTCGAAATGGCCCACACGCTCGCAGCTCAATCTGGAGGCCCCTTAAATTGCTCAACGAGTGCTTTATGGTCGCATTAGTGCCATTCATAATCCCGGGACCCGGGAGGCGCCAACGAGCTTAACGAGCGGACAATGCGTGTCCTCCACCGCCCCTTGGACTTCGATATGTCGCCCCCGGAGGAGTACACGCAGAAAATATGCTTTACGAGTAATGCAAAAGTAGTATTCAAAAAGAAAGGTTTCAGATAGTTTCTCATAAATTGAAAAATAATTCTTTGAACCTAATAGGTGCTTTTATCTAGATATACAACATAAACATTCAAATCCCCCTTTAATGAGCATGATATTTTTGCGTAGTGTATGTGCGTTTTGACCCACCTGTGTCCAAATGAAGATGGGATTCGTGGTGGGACGGTAGACCTCCAGCTTGGGCTTGCCATCCTCGGTTATCTGGCGCACGAAGGGCACCGCATGACGGATGTTCTCGCCGCGCTTGTTGCCCATCTCGTCCATCTCGTACAGTCGTCGGCTGAGGGGGAGGGAGGAGAAGAATAGAGGTTGCAAAATTGCGTGTCAGTTTCGGATTGGCTCGGAAGGTTGCCTTCGCTAACAGTCACTTATTGTCCGGCTCATTGCGTAGGCGTAGGCGCGTGTACGGCGGATCAGCCCGAGCCGGAGATACTATAAGATCGCTCAAAATAGTCCGAGCGGCGTCACGGGTTCCCAATTTGTATGCCACTCGGATTAAATTGATCAACGAAAGTGCGCAAATAGCTTGAGGGCAATCTTGGACATGCGAGGAGCTAACTATTCAATTACACTGACTATTCACGTTTTGCTGTGGTTTTATTTTGATTAGCATACTATCTATTTTGAGCCCTGATTAACATGCTTCTTTCAATATTTAATGTAAAACTGAGCTAAGCAAATGAAAGGATTAATAGAACGAATTATGTTGTCTGGAAACACTTTTTTGACTGATTATAGATCTTTCTTGGAATTCAATGGCTCACTTTTCGAAAACTTATCAGTTCTGGGAAATATTTGATTAGTGACTGCTTTCCCTGAACATGATAGTGCGAATCGTCCACAAAGATAAGGAGGTATCCAAAGATTATCAGTTATAAAATATACTTCTTACTTTCCTTTCAATTTGTAGCTTCTGTGCTCTACATTTCCTGTTCGAATTATGTATATATTCTGCCCAGAAACGCAAAAAACGTGTTCAAGATAACCCCCGATTTTGACCCATCGGGGGTTTCCATCCCAATGCTGTCATTCTTTGTTTCTGGTCCCTGACTATCAGTTATCAGCATGTGGACGACACTCACCTCTTGCGGGAATCTGTGCTGATGGAGCGCTGCTGCTGGAAGTGCTGGCGCGAAGTGAGGAAGTCCTCGTCGCTCTCGCTCTCCAGATCCTTGAGATCGATGATCACCGGCTTGGTGATGTCCTTGGGCCGGTGGATCAGGCGCTTGTGCTCGGCGTCCTCGCCCTCCTCGTCGCTGTCGGTGCTCGAGCCCTGAAGGACCTTGTCGAGCTTGAAGGTGACGCGCGGGTCCAAGCTCTGGTGCTTGCGTCCCTGGAACTCCCGACGGGTCTTGTGGAACTCCTCCTCCGAGGAGGACTCCTTCAGCAGGTCCTGCAGAAAGCGGGTGCCCTTCACGTCCAGGGAGACGTGCTTCTTGGCCTGGAACTGCCGCCGGTTGTCGTTGGCCAAGATGTGCTTGAGGTCCTTCAGGATACCCTTGTGGTCGACACTCGTGGCCTTCTGCTGCTGGAAGCCACTGCGCTTCTCCTCGAAGCTGTCCTCGTCGCTGCTCTCGGCCGCTTTGGTATTGCTATTGGTATTGCTATTGCTGTTTCCGGTGTCCCTTCGCTCGAAGGACACCCGTGATCCCTTCAAGCTCTGCTTGCTGCGCTGCAAGTCGTCGCCCTGGGCGCTCCTCTGCTGGCGATCGCGGTGCTCGCGGATCTCCAGGGATGTGGGCGGTGGCGGCAGGGGGGTCAGCTCCAAGCTGCCACTGGCTCTCAGCGGAGTCCTGTGCTGCTGCTGCTGCTGTGTCGGTGGCTCGTTGATGTCGTCGTCCTCTAAAAGTGGACGGAACGACAGCGGTGGCTCGTCCTCCAGCAGGCGCTGTGTCCTCACGGTCTGTGGATGCCTTTGGGGCGACACTTGGGGGAACAGGAACGGATCCTCCGGCAGAATTGTGTCCAAACTGGTGGCTGTGTTCGAGGTGGACAGGTTGCTCTCCACACGATGGTAGCCCAGCTCGTCCTGCGGATCGAATCGATTCGAATCGAGAGACAGTCGCGAATTAATTAAATCGAATCATAAGCGTGGCATAAGCATTAAACCTCTCCATCCCATCAAGAAGCCGCTGCCAACGGACCGAAAACATTGCGATAAAGCGAAATGTGTTCAATCTGTTCTTAAATCTCAATCTCAAAGGTTAAACAAGATTCCAGCATATTCAGGCATGTGCGCAATTGATGCTGCTCTCGTTAAATCTGGTTTTCAACATTAAATTTTACTAACAAAATTTTAAATATTTAAATTTAAAGCATTGATGGTTCTCAGTACTCTTAGTCAAGTAACTCAAGTAACAAAACAGTGTTAATCTCAATGTTTAGAATTTTTCAAGTATTTCTTTTGATTGGAATTTCATTTCTAATGGACTACCCCAATAGACAGTTCTTTGGGATACTTACACCTACTCGGGTCAGCTTCTCCTTGAGCTTGCCCATGGCGCTGCTCAGCGGTTGATGACCGCCGCCGCCACCGGCTCCTCTATTGTCGCGTCCGCTCATCTTATCAGCTCAACAGCTCTATAACTGAACTTGAACTAGTCGCTTTCCTTGGGGAGTTTGTTTTGCCTCAGATTTTCACTTGTTTTGCTGTCTTTACTTGACCAGTAAACAATGTATTCCTCTCCCGATTAAAATGATTTCTTTGTCTTTGCTGTAAGTAAAAGAAAAATATTTAAAAATTAGTTTCAAGGTCTAAATAAATTGTTAAGGGTTTATAAATTAACCTAGTTCGGTAACCTAGTTGTTCGCTTTATTATGAAATCAGCCACTTCAATAGTCTGGGAAAATTACATTGATTTTATCATTTGATTTGATAATTGCGCACTCGAAGTTCATAGATATGCCAATGCTATATATAGTATTAAGGGCAGACGTCTAAAAAAAATTCCAACCAGCCAGCCTAATAATTTGGTGCGAAAATAGTTAGGCACTCGAAAAGATATAGATAAATGCAATGAATCAGCTGTAGCCTGTCTACTTAAAATCGTCTGATGTCTGAGCTGTTATCGGCAAGAAATTTATGGGTTGGGTTTTAGATAACGTTCGAGCCCCCTCAGCACCCAACACACCCACTTTCTGCTGTCGGACGTCCTTGATTTCCACATGTGACCAACTTTTGCGGCAACAATCGAAGAAACTGTTTTTCTCACCGTAAGGTTGTTTTTATTTACTTTTCACGAAAAAAATTTAAGTGTGTGGCTGTTTTGCCCGGCGGCGTGAGTTTTATTTATGATCTTTTATATTCGGCATGCGGCAGTTCAGTTAAAAATATAAAACGTATTTCAAAAATTTTCCACAGCCTTTCCTGTGTACATATATTAGCTGATTAATGAGCGCATCGAAGAAAAAATGGAAATATTGAAATATTTTCATTTGTTTGGTTTTGTCAAATTTTGCCGGTTTTTTTTTATTTGTATTCATTTTGACTTTTTTTGCGTCATGTGATGCCCGGGAAATTGTGTGGGCGCCATGACGTCGACGACTTTTCTATGCTTTTTTTTGCTACCAATTTTCCGCCCGTCTCTTCTCCACTATCTCTTTCATTCTATTACTGGGAAAGTGGGTGTCATTTTTTTCTGCTTTTCAATTCTTTATTTGGCTTTCGTGCAAATATCGTCAGGCGTGACATAACGTTATGCCCACTCATTGGTGAGGGGGCGTGGCCTCCCACCCGAAAGGTTAATTGCAGTCTCATGGAAAGAAATATATTTTGTTATTTTATTTTTTTTGTGAAATATCATTCGCTATCTATAAATAATCGATCAAAACATAATCTATTTTTGCAAGAAAAAATAACAAAATGTAATTATATTATTAGTCAAACAAATTATATATTTTCTGTGTGCGGTTTTCTCTCAAAATACTAAATTAATTGTTAAATGAACGTGCCATCGTCTAAAACGCAATTGCATCGCCTGTGTGTTTATATGCAAATTCTTTCCCTAAAGGCGCTAAAAGTTGCCATTGACCTTGAAGGCCGCCAGAGTGGGCGTGTGGGCGGCAAATGACACATATTTTTGGGGGCCTGCGAGACAAAGAGATCGCAGCACGTTTCTCCCGCTGACGCTCTCTTAAGCCCTGGTTAAGTCAAACCGCTCTTTAACCAACTGTCGCGTGTTCTCTTAATAAACCAACTCACGTGCCGACTGAACCCCACTCTTACACACACGCGCACACAGGCCAAGCCAAAACCCACACAGGTGCGAAGCCTACGTCAACAGTGCAACGTTGCGATTTCGTATTTTGTATTCGTATTCGTCATGATCTTGCGGCCAGTTTTATTTTTAAAAAACGTTTTTCATGCTGACAGCAGATTAACAAAACCGTAATCGAAACTAAAATTAACAAAAGGCAGCCGCCAGACGAGTATTATAAGCAAATTCGCTTCAATTAGCGAAAAAGAACGCCCACACTTGAATTTTAAATTAAAATCATTATTTTGTCCGTTTTCAAACTTTGTTTTCACTTTTTGCGCGGCACTCACAGTCACTGCACAATACAAAATTGTAAGAGATAAAACCAAGTGTCTTGTCTAAATTTAAGAATTTTCACGGTCGCCACTCTCCCAAAAGTTTCTCGACTTTTCTTATGTATTTCCTCGAAAATTGCATTTTACCCTTGGCAAAATAGTCTTTGTCATTTCTTTTTCGTTTGTTGCTGCTTTTACAACATTTTTTCGCACATTACGTAAAATAGTTTGTAGTCCGCAGCAGGTTCGTTAAAATTTCGGCTCATAAATATTTTGTAGTTTTGACGCAGTATGCAAAAATGCGCATAAATTGGCGAGTTTTTTATACGTTTTTGCCAGACAGGCTAGAGACTGTGGTTTCTTATCTTTGTATTTATTTAAGTAGTTTCAAATTTTTCAAGAAACGCGATAAAGTAGCGACCGGAACTGTTCGGAAACTAAATTATAAATAACCAACTGGAATGTAACACTGAGTTTCGTTTGAAATTATGTTTTCTCGCTATTCGTTTTCAGATAAAATTTGCGGCGATTCTTGTGTTTTTTACCTTTGAACAAACTACTAAATGTTATATCCCACTATTGTGGCACTGAAGTTCGAGATTCGAATGCGCAACGCTTATATAGCGCACACCGATTCCGCTGCGGAAGAAGAAGAGACATTTGCTCGAGCTTTTGTTGTTCCCCAACGGTAAAACAGGCACTCTCTTCGCCGTCTCTTGCTCATTTTCTGTTTGTATTGGTGAGTTGGTGAGAGTTGGTTTTTTGTGAGAGAGAGAGCTCCACCGAGCGAAGGTCGAAAAGAAGGCATGAATGAATGGGGCCCGTCGGTGTGGGCCTGTGTCTCTTAGTGTGCGTGGGACGCCTCCTAGTCGTAGGTGTCTCTGGGGTCGTTGTTGTTGCTCCTGCAATTTGGAGGCTGCGAGAGAGAATGACGCGTGTTCTTAAAGAGAAGTCGCGACTCGCGACCCAGTGGCACCATCCGAAACCCATTTTCATACTCTTCGCGGAGGGAGTATCCTGCCTTAACCATAGTCCTAGATCCTTGATTTTCTGTCATTGTTGTAAATATATTATCAAGATTTTAACCCTACTTTAAAATAGGCTAGGACAAAATTAGCCTAAAACTGGATAATTTCGGTTCCATTGAAACGATTCAATTAAAACCAATATGCCAAATTTTACATTGGTCAGTCATACATATTCTATAAAAGGAAATTGTCAAACGTTCCACATTTAAAGTAATGAATTATTTAAGGGGGGGGTAAGGTTTTAAAGGCCAAAAAAAGGGCCATGTTTGATTTTTTTTTTGCGGCAAAATGAGTAAGCTTATTTTATTGAGCTTAATTACATGTTATTGTTTAACTTTTGAAGAGTATTAGAAAAAAAAGTTATTAAAAAATATTAAGAAATAAGCCTGTGGCGGTTAATCTTCCGAAGCGCCTAAAGAAAAAGTTGTTCTGCGGTGAACATCATAGGGCGTTAACGGATCATCTTAAAAATAAAATGTGATATGCGTTGTAAAGATAATGAATTTCCCGAGGTAATCAGGAAGAGTTTTTTTTTAAATTTATTTTTTGTCTATTTTTGGGAGCACTTGAAAGTGAAAAGTGCGATTTTAGCTTAAAAAATCGCTGTTAATTTATTTTTTTAAAAATAGAAAAAAATTAAAAATTAAAAAAAGCTCTTCCTGATTACCTGCGTATTTATGTTGAGAATTTGTGTTAAAAATTTGAAAAGGATCGGTTCAGTAGATTTTGAGTTCTAATGTTCACCGACTTTCAAAATAACGTCTTCGGCAAAATCGATTCAAAGTATTTTTATACGTGAAAATACGCCCACATACGGTTGTTTAAAACGCTGTAACTCCGTTAGTTTGACTTTAATTGACTCAAAATTTTTACACAATGTTCTCGACATATTAATCATTCAGAAAAAAAAAATAAAAATAAAAATGTAAAAAAAAAATTTTTAAAACCTTACCCCCCCCTTAAGTTTAGCAAGATCATTAAAAAAAAAAAAAAACTTATATCTCATAAAAAATCCCAAAACAAACCAGACATTAATCATGCATTTTACTAATGAATGACTCTTGACAGACGTAAACTATAAATATGTATTTCCTTGAGAATGCAAGTGTTTATGGTTACCAACCAGAAATAATTGGTAAGGATAAATGCGCAGTCGGTGCGCTTGCCTCTTACTAAAGTTTATATTTTTATTGATTTGTTTTGGCCGCTACGTGGTTATAGTTATGGTTATGTTATGCTCAATGACCAATTGCTGCGGACTGGATGCTGAGAGTTCCTCGGTGGCATTGTATGAGTGCCTGCCAATTGATTTTTATTTACACACAAATTTTCAATTGATTGTTATTAAATTGACTTTGAGGCGCGTGCAAATTTCTGGAAGCCTTGGGAAACATTTTGCGTGCGACTCCATGTGTCCGCCAGTCGAAGTCAATATCAATTCACTCAGTTTAGTTTTCGGGGGCCTGACGCAAGTGCAACCAAAACAAACGATGATGAATGGTTCGATGAAATGGGGGGAATGAGCATTAGGCAAATAATTAACCAGGACAAGTGCTTCGTGTTTCTGAGACACTCTCGATTGTTTGTTATTTTATTTTATTGGTTTATTTAGAGTTCGGTTAAAATGCCAATCGCGCCCCCAAAAAGCGCGGGGGGCTCGTCTCTCTATTTCATAACATGGTATAAACATTACGCGCAATGAGACGACACAATTTCCAAGTACCAGCCCGCCAGCCGGTTTTGTTTTATTTGCAGATACAGATACGACCGAGCAGCAACAGATACGGATACAAGGCGTTGCTTTAAACTGACTGGTCACACGGGGTCACCCTGACCAACCATAAATACGCAGAATTGCATTTCAACAATATGATTGTTAGGTTCTCAACTAATGAGCAGTCGACTTTTCTTTAGATTGATTGGTTTATGCATTGAGTGCTTACTAACTTTAGCTATTATTGGTCACATATTAGATTACAACCTTTAAATCTAAACCAATTTCCATCAGTTAAAATGTTACAGATAACAATTTTATCAGCTTATATTCTAGCAAGTTCCCACGATTTCGTTATTAATTTCATTTTTTGTTTTTAACAAGCCCCTCTTTTCAAAATGGGACCCCTGCTGCTATCCGCCTCTGATCGAATATTTTGAACAATTAACGGAAAGTTTTTAATCACGATTCTTCGTAGCACGCGTTTGGCATTTCGGCGTTTTAATTTCCACCACATCGACCGTCATTTGCCCTCGACTCTAAGTTGCGATCAATTCGCAGCGGAGCGGAGGTCTTGTGTTTTTGCAGTGACTCAAGGCTCAGCCGGATTGGAGAAAAAGTAATAACACAAACAATAGCAAAGCTCTTAAAATTTTGATGGATTTTGCCGTTTCTCGATCTGGGGAAGGTCAAGTAAAAAATGTTTGAAAACAAAACTTGATTGGCAGGAATCGAGTGAGGGAACGAAAGAGAAAATGAGCTGGCGAAATAGGAATTTAGAGTGGTGAAAAAACCCAAAGTGCAATGAACTTTTAAATAATTGCACATATGTAAGGGCGTACTGAAGTTTTGCATTTGGATCAGCACTGTAAAGAAAAATCGAGGCTTATCGGTAACACGTATCTATAATAAACCACTTTCTTTCGTGATTCATATAGCATAATGAGGTGCTGGCATTAAAAGGGCTTTTCGAATTCAAGGCTTTTAACTTATCTCTCGGAAGATAGTCCTATCAGTTCTGTTTCCCAGCACATGACGTAATTTGAACGGAGCTTTCTCGTAATTACCGAACTGTACTCGCAAATCACAGACCCACTTCCTATTTGGTCTATTTTTAATAGCTCCACCAGTTTAAAAAATAAGCGAAAACCACAGCAGAAATGCCGAAACAAGCGCAGAAAATGCCAAAAGAGACGAGCCCCCAGCAGCACGTACCATTTACGATAAGGGGGCCAAAGGGAGACGGGCGACTATGTATAGTAAGAGAGGGGGCTATAGGGAAAGAGAAGGAGGGTAGAAAAAGGGGTAGAGCACCTGGCAACAGTACAACAAAAAAGAGAGACCCGAAGAGAGTGCATCAACCTATGAAATTTGTGAGGTGGCGCAGGCGCGCGATTTAAAAGCTGATGCAATTGCGCATTTATTGCATCAGATTGTCCCAGCGAGAGTCCACTGTAAAAATAAAACCAACACATATTCTTGGACGTGAGCGGAAATTTTCCAGGCGCTAATTAAAGAACTTCGACAAAAGTCAAATTGAAACAAATGGCAAAAACCATTAAAAGCTTATTTATCTAATTGGTATTGGAGTCACATCAATTTCAGCGAACAAGAGAGTGGCCAAAAGAGAGGCCCCAAGTACACATACACGTGATGACGATCTCTTTCTGCGCTCTTTTCGCTTTTTTGGCAGCTAAAATTAGCGTTAAGATATCAAAATATGTAATGCAAAAAGAGACCAATAAGTTTAGTTAAGCATGTGATGCCGCCCCCGTCTATCTTTCTTCTTGCTTTCTTCATCACGCGCCCAGCCAAAAAGTATTTCGTTTTTTACATAAATAAGCAACAACAAAATTTGTATGATATGATGAGTCATATATTATGTGTACCGTATAATATTAAAAAACAAAGTACATAAATGTAATTCTGATATTAACCTAAGAACCTACATAAATTCTTGCATATAGACATAAAGAATTTTTGTTTTGTTTTTTATATTCACTTTTTTTTTGTGCACGTATCAACTTAATATGTATTTTGCTGAATATACAAGTGCTCATGTGTGTGTGGTGACGTTGCTGCTTTTGGCAAACCAGACGAGCCTCCAACTAATACAAAGAGAGCCCCCAACACACACACAAGCTACATTTACGCAAAATAAAGCTCGACACGGTGACTTTGCTCTACTTCTACATTCTCCAATCAGACTTTGCCTGGTACCTTCAATTTGATTTGCTGATTAGATCCGATTATGACGAACACTTTGGTTTTGCAAGAATTTTTACAATCGCAGCACGTACTTTAAACTTAGTCCAAGTCATTGATACATCCGACGATCGATCGAACGCTGCCCCCAAGTAAAAGCTCTTCGTTTCTCCCGAAAAAAGCTCTATTCGCCAACTAATCATTAGAATTTGACTTTTGTTTTCTATTTATACACGGCTAATTTTCAATGGGAAGTGCTTACCTAGTACAACAACTAACACGTGTGCACATGAGACCTGTTTAGTTATATACGGAAAAAAATTAGACATACTTAGATAAGATTAAAAATAATATTTTTTATTTTTGAGTTACATTTAGGGAAAATTATATAAAAAATGTATAAATTGCTGTATAACAAAAAATTGAGAATGTTGAATCTAATCGACACATTTTATAGTATCAGGTGCTAATTGAAATATTTTTCTGTGTACTGACAGATAAAAAGTGAGACAGCAAGAGGTACTCAGACATCCAGGTAATTAAGGCGAGCTAAATGGCAAGACCGGTGCCCTTCAGCCAAGGTCAAAGTCGCACTGTTCGCCTGTCGGTCGGAATTTCTGTCACCAGCCGCCGGTGACCAGTTCAAAGTTGCGAAGTTGCGTCAGAGCGCTAATAGAAAACCCAACTCTACATACATATATGCACGATATTCACGAGATACATATATGTAGGAATAAACCCACACACGAAACGACGATCAACGGCGTCTGGCTTGACTAGTTAGTCATACGGTTTTAGTCTGCCAGCCAGTATGCAAAGATTAAAATACTTAACAGAGTCTGGTTTTGGCGGCATTAATTGATGGCGTTTATTTATAAATTGTCTCATGAATATGCGCATTCCTTGGAGGGTAAAAAATATAGGTTCCGTTTGGCATGGAAAAAGAAAAGGGGTAACAGACTATCGTACGATAGTCTGCTGACACTAATAAAACTGTTTTAAATGTGCTAATTAACTGGTTTGCGAAAAAGTTGTAAAATAGTTTCTGGAAGTTTACCTATATCCATCTATTAAGCACCAAACATTCCAAAGCATGTCTATTGCTCAGAAAAGTCAACAGTTAAAACTCAAAAATGTCAATAGAACCTTTTATTGTTCGAATCAGGGCGCATTATGTGCTAAGTAATAAATAATAGCCTTGACTTACGTGCAAAAATGTTCATCGCTTTGCAAATAATTTCGACATCGTTTCGTTTTCGAAATACAAAAACAAAAACAAAAGCCTGTCGGGCTAACTAATCCGAAATCCCGTAATTACTCTCGCTCGAGAATTCGCCACGTGGCCAGTCTCAAGTTGCAATCCGTCGGGGCGAAGAACATAGCCTCGGTGGCGCAGTTGGCAGCGCGTAAGTCTCATAATCTTAAGGTCGTGAGTTCGAGCCTCACCCGGGGCATGTAACATTTTTTGTTTTTTTTTTATTTATATATATTATTTTTTTACCTCCCTATAAAATTGTATTTTCAAAAACCTTTCAAATTAAGGACGGCAATAAAATTCAGAAATCATATTCACGCCAAAGCAAATTTAAGGCTAAAAGGAACCCTGGAAAAATTCAAGTGTGCCATTTCGCAAAACAACTTTTCTTTATTTACTCCCTTTTGCAACAGCTGTTGTTTGTTTTAAATATTTTCATTTAATCTAGAATATGCAGTCTAATTTATTTTCTATTTATTTCACTCAAATATTTTGACTGCGTGCAAGCATCTGAGAATCCCTTCCATATTTTGCCATTGCACCACAGAAATCTGTCATAAAATTACGCTGGCGTGCGGCTGGGATTATTACGGTTACAAAAGCCAGTCCCGTAATTCAGTTACAGTTAACGTAAACTAGGTAATTAGCCGGCCATTACGGCTGACATTAGCTTCTTCCCGCTAGCAACGGAGCCACGAGATCGGGACAAAGCAAACAGAACCCGCCACGGGCGGTGCAATGATCAGATCAGGGCGAACAGACCCGGACCCGGGATGATGGGGAATGTCAATATTTGTCGGAAACCCACACCCACGCCGACTGAAAGTCACGAGGCTGTCAGTGGGTTAAGGCTGTTCTAACCAGATTTTTGACATAGGTCGGAGTTTAGGATTATCTGGGCTTTTAGCAGGGGGAAAAAGGCGATAAACAAATGCATACATAATTATAGTAATAGAAATATAGAACATTAGGCATTCTTGAAAACATTTTTAACAACGTTTAATATAAAGAATGAGAAACATTCTATATTTTTCCAGTGGAGCGCTTAATTTCCCGGAACTGCAGCTGTACAGGATTAGATTTCAAACCCTAGTCTGTTTTGAATTGACTTTTTGTTTCATATGACACCTTCTTGCACCTGCCCGAATCGCATGGCTTATGTAAAGCGTGCCAAAAACCCGAAGCAAGGTCAGCAAGATCCGGTAAAATTATGTTGGTTTTCGGAACGCAAATACTGATAACAGAACTAAACACTTGGGGGGAGACACTGCAAGAGATCTGTTGAAAACAGATGTCTGGGGAGTGCGAGTACCAATTTAGGGTCAGTGGAAAATTTCATGGAAAATTACCCGCGGCATTTACTCACAGCGACACAGTACCAAATGCAGGAGTGCAGAGATTTCAAAAAATTCCTCTGAAACAAAAACGAAAATCAAAATTTTCCATTCAGCGACTGCAAGTGATCTTTGAGTGCGAGAGCGAGTGAGAAAGTACCCCAGCCTCACATCGAAACACTTCTCTTATTTTTACCCCCCTGAGAAACGGGAACCCAACCCATCCATCGATTCGGTTCTTCGGCGATCGCCATAAATTTCAAGTTTGCACCGCGTTCGCCTCGTTCTCCGATCTCTGCACATGTGATCGGTCATGTACGTTTGGTATCTGTGTGTATATGGTATAGTATCTGAGTGTGCCAGATATTGCCCACTCGTAAGTGGAACAAGCCAGAAATTGCTACGCTGAATCTTTCATTTGGTATGGTATCTGCAGTTTCGCAGACCATATGCAGTGCAGAAAGGTTCTCGAGATTTTTCTCTGCAGTTCGGTCTTTCCGGTCTCAAAATGCCCTTCTTCATTGACCTTGAAAAGTTGGTGCCAAAATATTGTGTTTCCAAATATTTGTTATGATTTTTATTTCTGAATAATAACAGTGAATGTAGTACACATTTTAAGGAAGTGACCTACGATGTTACTTGCTAAGTTTAAAAATAAATTATTAGCAAGCAAGTGGTTGAGATTAAATCTTACCAACTGTTTGTACACCCAATCAAAGATCACCCACTAATTGCCTGGTCTTAGAACTATAAAATAATATTTATCTTAGCCTTTGTAGTACACTCCCAAGGCATTATCCCTTTGCTCTTGGCTTGTTAATTTCTTCTAAATGCCTGAATTATTTTACTCACCGCCCGACCACTCTGCAAAAATTAACGTTTATCCACTAACATTCACACCTTCAATTCGGTCACATGTGCGACTTTCCACGAAACGATATCGCAGTGTGATCTGGCTGAAGATATGACTGAAAACATCACCCTCACAAAAAGATTCCACGTGTCACAGTTAAAGATTTCCATTATTTATTTGTTTTTACGAAAATTCCAAAAGCTTGACAAGCTAAGATAAATGTTTAAATCGCACAATTTGACTTTCAATAATATTTTGTATAAAAATATTTTGTATAAACAAATATGTAGTGAACATTTCGGTTAGTTATAAAGAAGTTTTTAACCACTACAAAATGCAATGATCCAATTTTTTGGTATAGGGGATTGATTCAATAAAGCAACTCTTTTTTGATGAGGATGCACTTAAGAGAGGATTTTAGCCGAGAGCTAAGAGCAGAAACCCAAAGAGCAGAGAATGAAGAGCGGGTTTTGGGGGCACGTTCGTTGGTTGATTTTCATTTTTTTTTTCACTTTTGTTGTTGTTTTGTTTGCTGGCTGCTGGGGCGACAAGCCCCCGTGCATGACGTCACGTAAGCGAGACCGTTACAGCAAATGCGAAACGGGTTGTACCAGGGGGGAAAGAGACGAAATGAGCCAAACGAAAGAGATAGCAGCAAGTGCAACGTGACACGCTAAGCAAACTAGAAAATAAATAAAATATTAAAATAATGGCGAGCATGTGACCAATTTGTCGGTGAATCGACGGCTGCACCGATAAGACGCATTTATTGCCGCCCCGATAAAATAGCCATCGAGGTGTGGAAAAGGCGGGTGCCCAAGTGCGAATTTTATCGAGCACTCGCTATATGCCACGATTTAAAGGCTATATTTAGGCCCGCTCCCAGACGGATTCGCCAATGCACCCGCCAACCTTGAACTTATACTTGCATAACGGCCAGACATTTCGCATTTGCATATTGGCGTGCACTCGATTAGATCCAATTCCGATTCCGATTCCGATCCGGTCCGATTCGCCTATCCTTATACATATATCTTAACCTATACAGTCGGCGAGTGTCTGGTCAGGTGCAGCAAACTGGAATTTTTAATCGGTCGGCTGTCGACTTGTATCGGCAGACCTGAACTCGAAGCAGTAACGATTTTGTCAGGTATGTCGGACAGGTTTAGCCGGCGATCCACCGACTCACTGTGGAATACAAGGGGTATATGGGTTTAACGGTCATTAAAAACCACTTATCTTCAGGTTTATTTTGGCAATTATCAATCGAACCAAAATTGTACACAAATCGTAGCATACTTTTGGAGGCATTTTTGAGTGGTTTTGAATTTGTTTAATTTTATAATTGGTTTGCAAAATCTCTTTATACCAATTATGAGGTTTCATAGGTAAAAAGATCTGTAGAATCTGTACTTTGAGTACGTACAACAGTTCCGAACTATCGTTACGTCGTTGGGCAAACATTATCGAACGCCCTGAGACCACTCGACTTAGGAACTCCAGGCAGCCAGACGACCGACCAGCTTCCGGCTCGAAAAGTCAGGTGAGCTCGAGCTTGGCTCAAATCGGCTGAGGTGGGCGCGACATTGTCACGTTTCGTTTGTCGGCGATCCGACAGCCAATACGTACGAGTACGAGTATTGTGCAATTAACTCGGTCCGAACGCAATTGTCGATTTGCCTAATGCATATGCATGGGCCTATAAACGGAGTCAAATACCGATCCGCCCGACTTGCTTTCCAGATTCCCAGACACGCCCCCCTTCTCGCCCCCGCCCCCGCCTCTGCTAAAAACTGCTAAACGATGGCAATTGAACTCGAAGAATACTTTGTAGATTGTAGAGCGAGAAGTTCGCAGATTCGAAGATTTGCAATGACGCAGTTCCATTGGTGCGCATATTTTTCCGCTAACTGTACCGTGGGTATTCCATATCGTTCTGCCTAAATGAATCAATTTGCCATACGGGTGTTTGTTTGAATGAAAACTGCCTCCGGACGGCTGTTTGATTGATTATGCACGAGCTGAAAGCGAAATATATTTAATTCCTCTGCCCGGGACACTTTATTTCTTCCACTGTGCCTAGGCCGAGCCCTCTAAAAAATTTTCCACTGCCCGTAATTGTTTATTGACTTGATTGACTTTAACTTGCCACACAGACTTTTATTACGGCAAGGAAATCAAATCGTTGGTGTATGCAAATTGAAACCGGCGATGCCATTCCATCGAGTGTATTTGGTATTTGGAGCTCTTAACTTACGCAATCTAGGGCGCTCCAAACAGAACTAAGAACAACTTGGTGACGCCCGCGTTTCAGTCGACTTTCTCGAAAAACACCTGTGTCAATGTTCGGGCGACGCCGTAGGCATAGAAGGTGAAATCCAAGCGGTACGTTCCGGCGGGCACTGGCATACTAATCTGGCTAAAATTCAGGGCAAAATTCTGAACAGTCATGTGGTTCTGAAAAATAATAGAAATAAGGATTAAACCTTTTATAATAATAAACCTAAACTCACCTCCCTCCACGGACAAGTTTGATTAAAGTTACTCTGTTTTCGGATGGCATCGAATATAAATCGCTCGAAGGATAACTGGTAGTTACTGCTGGCCATCAGCTTGCAAAAATCGAACAGAATGTTGTACATAAACGGTCTATATCCATCCCGCCTTTGAAAGCATTGCAGTCTGGCGGTCAAGTTGCGGATGGGAATCTGCAGCAAGTTGACCTTCAGGGAGAGTTCCACCTGATTCCTGCGCACCACTTTCAAACGACAGTATTCGTATTTGGTAAAACCACGGGAAGTTGGCAGATCCATGCACTTGACGTTGGTGAACTTCAAAAGGCGAGTGGCCTATAAGAAATTTGATAAATAATAGAAACTACCTAATAAACTTATCTTACCATTGAGTCCTGCATTAAAAAATAAACGAATATTAAGCTGCTTAGCTTACTCCGCAACATTTTGAATTGATCTTTTAATGGCCTTTGGCTAAACTAACAAATCAATTTTGAATTGTGAAAACAACATTACCCATTAACCCCAAATCAGATAGCAGATAAATATACAATTATTATAAAATTTAAAAACAATTTAGTAATCATTCTTCTCCTAACTAGAATTAACCCCTCAATAGTTCAAAGACCCAGAAAAACAGCAGTCCAGCAGTTTTGCGGATAGAACGCATTTAAGCCCTCGATTAGAGCCATAGTTCGTGACCAATGGCTATTGACTTCTACTTCAGTTACAAAAAACCATGAAATTCTTGGAAGTATGTTAACAATTTCCTGTTGTTATGATCGTTTTTCGCTTACCCAAAAGTGCTAAAACCAGGGGAAATGGTGAGGCGATTTTCACACCAAAAAAACATAATTCCTTGACTCACGCTGGGTGTACGATTCGCGTGTTCGTTCTTTTTTTTCATTATTGAAGTATGGTTATCGTTGTTTTTACTTTTCTCCGGGTCAGCAGAATTCTCCAGTGCAACGGCAGCCAAAGCGGCGTATACGTGATGCCTCACAGGCCGTCCGACGACGACGCATTTACCTTACCTGCTTGTTCTGTTGATTGTCGTTTTCGAAGGTGTATTGTAAATTTCTGCCGACGCGCTCGTATTTCGAAATGTCAACACCAACACCTGCAGCAGGTATCCCAAGCGGATCGGGTAATGCCCGTTACACGGCAGAAAAAATCTATTTTTAAATAAATATTAAACATAACTTTATTTAATATTATAAAAACAATCATCTCTGAAACTGGGTACTTATGTATACGAATTTAAATTAATAAGTTTGTCAAAATTAACGTATATTTCTAAAGTAAGAATTTCTTGGATGACTATTTCAAAATGAAATATAAACCAATTAAATTTTCACTCTGTACATAAATTGAGCCACTGATTAACCATTTTTGCATTGACTTGTCGAATTTCGGCGGTGGTTCTGAGAAAAATATTTATCGCCAGTGAAAACCGATGCGTTCCCAATTCTGGCCGCCAAGTACAGTGACCTCTCCCACCGAAAATCAACCGAAACACCTGAAATTAAAAGCGGGGGAAGGCTTACTGAATTGTGATTAAGTTTGCACTTATTTTTTATGTGCCCACCTTTTGTTGAATGAACTTTTTTGCCGAATTTGGTGTGAATATTTACTGAATGAAGGCATTTCCGCTGGTCAAGAACATTAATATCGAATAACTGCAATCGGAGGACATTTTCAATAGCTTTTGGCCATAATCAATTCACAGGAAATCGTTCTGGTGTCAAAGATTCATTTGCGTCAGTGGCGCAGAAGTTTGAATTTGTTTTTAGCTAATTGTAACTCAAAGCCGCCAGTGACGCGTTTTGCCAAGAGCACTTGCTGATCACTTGTTTGCACTTTTGACGGTATCGTTCTATTTTTAAAGTGTTCTTCCGAGACACTCGACCCTTTCAACCCATCTCATTGGTTCAATTAAGAGGATTTCCATAATGCCGACAGAGACGAAATGTGGGGTTCCACCTTATGATGATACATCAATCGAATTAGAATTAGTTACTTAAATTCAATGAATTATATTTCTTGACCAATTAGGAGAGATTTTACAAAACATATTTTATTTTGAACACTTTTATATTATCTACAAGTATCTTTAATAATCTTTAAGTATTTATTGGTGTATATCTGCCAACTAAACACCGATTTATTTTTTCCTTTTTAGATTCCTGCCTTCGCTGCCAGGCGGACAACAAGCGGGATGTGATGGGTCGCCAGGATTGTGTGGTGGTTTGGGGCGAGTGCAACCACTCGTTCCACCATTGCTGCATGTCGCTGTGGGTGAAGCAGAACAACCGCTGCCCGTTGTGCCAGCAAGAGTGGTCCATCCAGCGTATGGGGAAATAAGTCCCTCCACCTCAATTTACTTTACTCTGTCTAAGAATCGTGAACAAATAAAAATAAAAGAAAATAAAAACAAAAGCAAAAAGTTTACATGCCCCGGGTGAGGCTCGAACTCACGACCTTAAGATTATGAGACTTACGCGCTGCCAACTGCGCCACCGAGGCTATGTTTGTCGTCTGGCTAAAGAGCAACTCAACCCCCAAACGTTCTACATCGAGAACAAAGCTGTTCTAAACTCCGAAAAAATACTTCAATGTATTATTTAATGTACTTTTTAAATAATTAAAGATGAGAGAAAGCTTGTTCATCCGTTTCGCAGCTGCAAAAACTCCCCCTGGCTCCTATGAGTCATTGGAAAGCCGTCCACCACCTGTCCCTTTGGCGCAGAGGATAGCGCGTTGGACTTCTAATCCAAAGGTCGCGGGTTCGATCCCCGCAAGGGATGAAACACTTGTGTTCACGTAAATTTTTTGGCGTATCTTTTTTTTTTTTTATTGATAACAACTTTCTAATTTAGATAATCTCCCATGGAGGGCAACAACTCTAGGTCTTTGGCTGCAGCGAAGGTGAAAGATTGCGTTCGAGCACAGGACTACTGAGTCGTAATTTCTCCACATTGGCGGCATTTGAGTTCAAACTTTCTTCCGTCAACCGTTTGGCGCGCAACTCTTGTATGGATGCTGTCGGGACATTACAAATTAGGAATATACTTCAACTGGAAAGTTGCCTTTTGGCGCTCGAAAACTCACGACTGTAAGGGGTGTATTTGTCGGATAGCATACTCTCCAAATTGTAGCCGATAAAACCCACCACGCCGGCAATGGGTAAAGTGATGTACACGGCATTACGCCTCAGCAGAGCCATTATAATGGGCCACATCTTGTTTTATCCTTGCTTTCTGTAAATTTGAAGAAATATTTCGAGAAAAACACGAAATATGCGGCGTGCAGAATTATAAAATCAGTCGGACAGCTGATTGGGTTGCCAGATCGTGTGAATAAGTTAAGGCTCAAATGAACTAGTTCGGAAAGAGTTCCAATTGGCAGCTTTTGGTGGATTCCCACGGACAACCATTCATTTACAAAAAAGTGTTTTAATACTGTGTCTACGTGCGGAATCAACTATTAATTAATAATATTAGAATACATCTGCACCGTGTGCACATATGTTTTGTTGTTTAATTCTCTGTTTCATAGCATTTGAAAATTCCACCCGTTCCTCTTTTATCGGCCCGCTTCTAGGCTTTTCGATAGTTTCGGCGGAGCGAACTAATCGATTATTATCTGCCAGCTCCCACCTCTGATCTGTTTCTGCTGCCTCATCTTTGAATTTGACTAAAAGTGCCGATTTTCCAGCTCAACGAATTGCCCGAGTAGCGACGAATTGTACTATTAAGTTAAAAAGTTAAACCGCAACTATTTACCATGGCAGATTCCAAGGGGTAAGTGAACTGGCCGCCCAAAAAGATGCCGACAAGTCGTAACTCGCCGAGTTAGTGCAATTTCGCGCAGTCATTGGCCTGAAAAAATATGCAAGGGCCACATCGCAGACAAATTAATATTTTCGATGGTAATGTCGTTTTCATTACCGCGAAAGCAATATTTTTGGGACTTTTTCGCAGCTCGGTTGCAAAACGTTGCAAAACTAGGGCAAACCGAAAAGCCAAGAAAAAAACACGCCAACGAAAATCGCCATTTGCAGTCCATTGTTGTTGTTGTGTGGTGTTACTGCCCTTGCAGTTGTTGTTGCCGCCTGAAAACTTTCGGTTTTTCTTTGTTGTCCCGAAATATAATTCGTCCTTTTTCTGAAGGATATTATTTTTGAGGGGGAGAGTACGAAGCTGTCGTAATTGGTATCTAGAATCGCTGGATAAAGATTACCATACTGGATAAAAGGAAACTTTTTTTTGTCAATAAGAATTTTGTGAAACTCAACTGTTTTTCTAGAAATACAAAAAATATCCATAAGTATTTGTCTTCTGATGTATTAGATTTCATAATTTCATCACTTCTAGAATAATCATCAAGTTTTGGGTGTCAACAATTACTAAACCAATTAAAAATTTCTCTAAATCAGCAAAATATCAATAAACCAAAGTCCTTATCTGGCAATTTATCTCTTGAATTAACCTAAAATAAAAGGGTTTTTGATACAATTTTATTTTTAGAAAAGTTGTTCTATCAAAACAAATGGCGCCAAAAAGAGTTGGCAGCGAAAGCGAGAAACACAGTCCTCTTTAACTAAAGCAAATGTCCGCCACAATAAAATATAGAATTATAAAATATGTTTGCTTTTTGCTAAGCTCAAACAACTCAATCTCAAACAATACATTTTTCAAAACCCAAGAGCTCATACTCCCTAAAAACCAATACGTTGGCTATGAAATCTAAATCGGCAAGCTGACTTTCCCCGAGGTTTAGTTCCGTTTTGGTTTGTTTGGGAAGCAGTTTCCACAAATTTGATTAAGAACAACAAGAAAAAGGGGAATCCCAAACAAAAAAAAAGGAGGATGTCGGGCAGCAACGATGACAAGATGGATCAGGATGGGGATCCCAGGAACTTTGTGCGGGGCTATCGCAGCGAGCAGGACGAGAAGATGAAGCCAAAGGCCTCGTTCGAAAAGCGGTTGGGAATAGGGAACAAGCTATATTATCCAAGAAAAGTCTAACCAGATCCTTCCCTCCTTCTCCTCCGCAGTGAAGATCTGGCAACGGCGATCCTGAAGCGCAAGGACCGTCCCAACCGTCTGATTGTGGAGGAGGCCCAGAGCGATGACAACTCTGTGGTGTCGCTGTCGCAGGTAAGATTCACCCTCCCAAAGGCCACGTCATCCCAAAGAGGTTAACCACATGCTTGGCCTTTCTTTCCATCTGCTCGGCATTGCAGGCGAAGATGGACGAGCTGCAGCTCTTCCGCGGCGACACTGTGATCCTGAAGGGCAAGCGCCGCAAGGAGACCGTCTGCATCGTGCTCTCGGACGACACCTGCCCCGACGAGAAGATCCGCATGAACCGCGTGGTGCGCAACAACCTGTGCGTCCATCTCTCGGATGTGGTTTCGGTGCAGTCCTGTCCGGACGTCAAGTACGGCAAACGGGTGCGCATCCTGCCCATCGACGACACCACCGAGGGCGTCACCGGCAACCTCTTCGAGATCTATCTGAAGCCGTACTTCCTGGAAGCCTACCGGCCCATCCACATGGGCGACAACTTCATCGTGCGCGCCGCCATGCGTCCCATTGAGTTCAAGGTGGTGCTGACCGACCCGGAGCCATACTGCATCGTGGCCCCCGAAACGGTGATCTTCTGCGACGGCGATCCCATCAAGCGCGAGGAGGAAGAGGAGTCTCTGAACGCCGTGGGCTACGACGACATCGGCGGGTGCCGCAAGCAGCTGGCTCAGATCAAGGAGATGGTGGAGCTGCCGCTGCGCCATCCGTCGCTGTTCAAGGCCATCGGTGTGAAGCCACCGCGTGGCATTCTGATGTACGGTCCCCCCGGTACCGGTAAGACCCTGATTGCCCGCGCCGTGGCCAACGAGACTGGCGCCTTCTTCTTCCTGATCAACGGACCCGAGATCATGTCCAAGCTGGCCGGAGAGTCGGAGTCCAATCTGCGCAAGGCCTTCGAGGAGGCCGAGAAGAACTCGCCGGCCATCATCTTCATCGATGAGATCGACGCCATTGCCCCGAAGCGTGACAAGACCCACGGCGAGGTGGAGCGCCGCATTGTCTCGCAGCTGCTGACCCTGATGGATGGCATGAAGAAGAGCTCCCATCTGATCGTCATGGCGGCCACCAACAGGCCCAACTCCATCGACCCGGCCCTGCGTCGCTTCGGCCGTTTCGATCGTGAGATTGACATCGGCATTCCGGATGCCACCGGTCGGCTGGAGGTGCTGCGCATCCACACCAAGAACATGAAGTTGCACGATGACGTGGACTTGGAGCAGATCGCCGCCGAGACCCACGGACATGTGGGCGCCGATCTGGCCTCGCTGTGCTCGGAGGCTGCCCTGCAGCAGATCCGCGAGAAGATGGACCTCATCGATTTGGAGGACGACAAGATCGACGCCGAGGTGCTGGCCTCGCTGGCCGTGACCATGGAGAACTTCCGGTACGCCATGACCAAGTCGAGTCCGTCGGCGCTGCGCGAGACCGTGGTGGAGGTGCCCAACACCACCTGGACCGACATCGGCGGCCTCGAGAGCGTGAAGAAGGAGCTGCAGGAGCTGGTGCAATACCCCGTGGAGCATCCGGACAAGTTCCTCAAGTTCGGCATGCAGCCCAGTCGCGGCGTCCTCTTCTACGGACCCCCCGGCTGCGGTAAGACGCTGCTGGCCAAGGCCATTGCCAACGAGTGCCAGGCGAACTTCATCTCGGTCAAGGGACCCGAGCTGCTGACCATGTGGTTCGGCGAGTCCGAGGCCAACGTGCGCGACATCTTCGACAAGGCCCGCTCGGCGGCTCCTTGTGTGCTCTTCTTCGACGAGCTGGACTCGATCGCCAAGGCCCGTGGCGGCAATGTGGGCGATGCCGGCGGCGCCGCCGATCGTGTGATCAACCAGATCCTCACCGAAATGGACGGCATGGGTGCCAAGAAGAACGTATTCATCATCGGCGCGACCAATCGCCCGGACATCATCGATCCGGCCATCCTGCGTCCGGGCCGTCTGGATCAGTTGATCTATATCCCGCTGCCCGACGACAAGTCGCGCGAGGCCATCCTGAAGGCCAACTTGCGCAAGTCGCCGCTGGCCAAGGAGGTGGACCTCACCTACATCGCCAAGGTGACGCAGGGCTTCTCGGGAGCCGATCTGACTGAGATCTGCCAGCGGGCCTGCAAGCTGGCCATCCGACAGGCCATCGAGGCTGAGATCCGACGCGAGAAGGAGCGCACCGAGAACCAGAACTCGGCGATGGACGTAAGTCACCTTAGCTAGATGGTCAAAAGAATATCTATTTTTGACTATTTTCCCCCCGTAAACACCAGATGGACGAGGACGATCCAGTGCCGGAGATTACCAGCGCCCACTTTGAGGAGGCCATGAAGTTTGCACGTCGCTCGGTGTCCGACAACGACATCAGGAAATACGAGATGTTTGCTCAGACCTTGCAGCAGTCCCGTGGTTTCGGACAGAACTTCAGGTGAGTAATCAAATCTCCTTCGTTTTGTAATTGATTACTTATTGGACACTTTATGGTATTTTAGATTCCCCGGTCAAACCGGCAACACCTCAGGATCTGGCAACAACTTGCCAGTTAACTCGCCGGGCGACAACGGCGACGATGATCTTTACAGTTAGATTTCTAGTTTTACACCGCAAAACAAAACCACAAAAAAATAAGAAACTTTTTAAATGAATTTTTTCCTGTAAAACCGAGCAAGCAAACAAATCACATTCGCATCCTGGAGGCGGTTAACTACAGCAACCATTTGGCTAAGACATTCAGCCGACAGCGGAATCAGATAAAATACCTAATACAATAATCACTCTTTTTGATACCATCCTTGGTCTTGGTCACGGATCCGTGCAGCAAGATGAAATATTCTGAGGACTTTGGACTTTGGACTTAGGCCTGCCTAATCCGGAACCCAATCGATTGCGACCCAATCCGCGCCCCACACTTATCATTCGTGCATTGTCGGTAGAGTGGCTCCGATATATGAGTTTCTATAAACATAATTATAAACGATACACATACACACATACATTTAAAGATAAATACATATATTAAACACCGTAAAATTATAAGTGTATTTGGAGCTACGTTTTTAAGTGAATAAAAATTATAAATTCAATAAAATGAGCTGGTTTTTTTATTATCTAGGTCAGTCCCGTCTACCCCATTATATAATAAAAAACCTTATTTTGTTTTATCGCATTTATTAAACTTGTATTCATTCGTCATGTTTGCTTTTTCTGGTTTTCATTTATTTTTTCACTTTTATTTTCATGAATGCGTTGCGACATAACAAGGACATCTTAATATGAAGTTAGTTGGATTCTTTCATATTTTAATAATCATCATCATCAGCTTCCGACTTATAAATAAACTGCTATGCCATTTAATTAGCTGCTGGTTTTTTAAATCAATGTTTTGGCATCGGTAAATTAAGATAAAGAAAACCAAAAGGATTTTATTAATGGCAAAAGCAGGAAACTTTAGATTTGATTTGCTTTTTAGTGTATTATTGCAGCTTCTTCGGCGCTTAATTTAAATCAATTTTTGTTTCCTTTTTTTCAGTGTCTACACCTTGAATTTTCCGTTTTTTTTTTTGTATTTATTAATACATACTCTTTTTTGTTTTTCTTTTCGTTTGTATTTGTTTTTCATTTTTATTTTTGTTACACATACATAATTAAATACGCTTTATGCATAATTACAACACAACAGTTAAAATACGAATAGGCTTTACTATTTTTTATTTTATGTATCCTTTCCTCAGTGACTTTAATTTGAAATTTGCGCGTTTAGAGTTTGACATCGGTGATTTCAACGATTTGTATATATATTTTTTGAGCTTTGCTTGATGAAATTATCAGTATGGCTTTTGTGTGCGTGTGTTTATATTGTGTGCGTGTGTGTGGGTGTATTGGCTCGTGTGTGTGTGCGTGTTGTTGTGGTTGTTGTAGTTGGTAAGTGGAAGAAAATGGCCAGCACTTTCTGCATCTTAATTAATTTCTATAATTTTACTCGCTTGATATAATAGTTATTATTTATGTTTTTCTCGAACTCCATCCTCGAGTTCATTTTGCTTCGAAAATTTTCCAAGAATTTGTTGCTTTAAAGTCTTGAACATAGACTAGACACCAATTAGGATTAAAAACATACTTTTATATATTTTAGTTGTATTATTTATTGCTGACAATTTGAACGACTTGTAGCAACTTTACATGTATGATATTTTCGGTTTCTTTATATGTAGTTTCTTTTAGCTTTGAACACCTGTCGACTGTTGGTATGCCAGTTGAATTGATTTAATTTAATATTATACCTACATATGCAAGTTCATTGATTATCCCACTAAGATTTGTTTAGTTACGCTGTTTGTTCAAAACAATACGGTTACACTCATATAAAGTAGTTGGAGTCGTTTAGGTATAGGTTTAGGCTTTACCATAGTTTAAGCTCATTCAGTTATATAAATAGAGATATACAGGCGTGGGTGTATAGGGTAGTACAGGTAGTACAGGTAGTATTGAACAGCAACAAAAACAGGGACATACTAAGTACACATTATCCAGGCCGTCGATATTGCTTTGATTCGTTTTCGCCGGGGGCCCGAAATTAAAAGATATATCTTTGTATACATATTTGAAAGCGATCTAAGCAAATGTCTCCCAGGTGCATACAACTTTTCCCCGTTCTCACTTCGCGCTCTCTGCTAAATTTCGTATTTTTCGCTAGTTTTTCTCAAAGTTTTCTAAGTTGATCCCATGCAACGTATTGATTGTGCCTTTAGCATTACATTTTTGTTTTGTCCTTGCGTTCCGAGAACTGAATAACAACAACATTCTCGTGAGCCTACGGTGAGATCGCTCAAGGAAGTGGAAAGCCTACATCTCGGGGACTCGCAAATCTGATATCTTTTCCTCCCACTCTCTTCAGATGGCCGAAACACCTGTCCTCCAGCTGCTTCATGTATAGACTAGTTCATACATTAATTGGTTGTTAGTATCTGGGGTTTCCCTGGGCGAATACTTTTCGATTTTCCGGGTAAGTATCTCTCGATATACGAGTACCATCATATAGTATGTGGGAAAAGCATCGCTGATGTGTGTGTTTGTGTTCAATTTGCTCTTATGTGATATATTTTTGCTTACTTTTCGCTTATTACTTAATTAGCAGCCAATGAAACAAGTGTATGCGTTACTTTCTAAATTATCAATAAATCAATGGATAACAAAAAGGTATGAATAAACAAAACTTAAATTAGTACTTTTAACATTCCCGTTGAGCCAATCGTTTGTTGTTTCGGTTTGCTGATTGCGTTTGAATTCATTTTCGCCCAATTAAATACATTACAAATTACAATTGCTAAATACATACAATACAATTCTTAACTCGCTTTTTAGCTTGTCTCTCTCTTTTTTTTTGATTAGAAACATTGCTAAGCTTCTCCCCAACATGATCAACACTCTCATCATCATCGTTATTACCGTAGTATTATACTCATTACTCGTAGATTAATTTCAATTATCAAATATTCATGATTAAGTTTAAATGATTTTTGTGTCCTTGTGTGTGTTTGTTTGGTATTTGTGCATTGTTGTGGATTGTGTTCTGCTGTTATTAGCTGTCTGTAGTATTGCTCAATTTGAAAGAAACATGGTTACAAAATAAAATCCTAGAAGCCTGCAAGTGACCTTTTTCAGTTTTAGTAGCTGCTTAGCTGTTTGTTGTAGCTGTTGATGGTGGTTTTGTTGTTGTTGTTGTTGTTGGTTGCTTGGTTGGTTGGTTGGTTGGTTGTTCAGACTTTTTATCGTGTGTCGGTGATATTGTTTTTGCTGCCAAATATCTTCACCAACTGCGACTCGTAGTCGTCAATGTTGCGCTTCATAATATCCATGCAGGGACCCAGCAGACGCTCAAACGCCTTCACATCGAGGACTAAATGGAATAAGAGTCATATAATTAGTCTTGGAAATCTATCTAAAGGAATGGAAAACACTCAGAGCATGCTGGGATTTCTGGGGAAAGGTGGGTTAGTAATACTTAATTAAAAACATTTTAGCACCAATCACCAAACCAATTCCACTTCAAATGCATTCCTTGATCACCACAGGCCCCACTATATCTCAATTAGATATCCTTCTCTTACCGATCCATCAACCTTTAGATGCCTGTGTCAGCTTCAGACATTCAAATTTCAAAGTGCTGTGGGTTTTATTTTTGGGATGGTGAGGGATTGGCCCATAACATATACTCCTGTATGCGTGTGTGTCCGAAAAGAACTACATTTTATTACATACTTAACCATTAAGTAATTAATTTTGAATGGTTCCTTATTAAGTTCGAAATAATTTAAACAATTTGGAATTTAGAATAACAACCTATAAAAATAAAAACATTTTAAACTGATTTTAAGCTGATTCGTTCACAAATTCGTATTGCGGCGTGCCATGTCGGTGAACATTTGCTCATAGATCACAACATTGCGTTTCAGCACATCGGTGAGGAAGCCCATGATTCGTTCAAAGGCCTCGGTGTCTAGGACTGGACGGAGTTTTGAGTTAAAGTCAGGTTTATTTTAAAGTCTACAGACCCATTTTCATGACCTTATTACTTAATAAGAAGCAAAACTTTTAATTGCTCGTAAATAGCTAACTACTTCTGTTTTTGGGGGTCATGAAAAGGGAGTTTGGTCTACTGTAAAACTACAATTACTACTTCTACTACTAATTAGTGGCTAAGTGGCCAAAGTATTCGCGCAGATCCTCCTCCAGGTAGCGATACCCACTAATGCTACGCTGGATGCCCCCACTGCACTTTCCCATGAGGCGCTCGAAGCAGATTACATCCAAGACTACACACAACACACAACAAATACGAGGTTATCGAGCCGGGGAACGGGGACAGGAGGACAAAGAACGAATAAACAAAAGCATTAGGGATTAGGTCAAGCGGGGTTTTCGGGCTGGGGACGAATCGTCGGCTGAAAGGCTTTCCGTGTAGCCAGTCCGCCGGCCAGGACACTCACATGCCAGCTTGACGACGCCTCCTGTGGCGTAGACCGAGGCGGCCCGGGGTCGATGTGTCACCAGCGCCAGCTCGCCGAAGTACTGGCCCTTGCCCAGCTGCGAGATCTCCACCTCGGCGTCGTCCTGGTCCATTCGCACGGACACGGTGCCCTCCTCGATGAAGTACATGCCGTCGGCGGCGTCACCTGGGAATGTGCAGAAAAATCGGTGTCATTAGCAGGAACCCAAAAGGAACAAAAGGGAAGAACATTCTTCACTATGAAGATATAATAAATTCAGTAAATATAGTAATATATTTCCAAAGCTATGAACAGTAGGGTTTGTATTCCATTCATTGTACATACTCCATAAATAACTTTCAAGTCACAAATTTGCATGTTAATAGAACCTTTATTCACTTAGCTAAATGCCCTGTAACTTAATTATTCACTCACCCTGCTTGATGATGCGTTCGCCGTTGTCGTAGCTCTTCGAAACCAAAGCATCCGCCAGATTCATGCGTTCGTAGTTCTGGAGCAAAAGGTTGGATATATACATTATCGATTGGGTTGAGGATGGGTAAATAGAAGAAAGGGGGGAGTGAGGGTGGGGGAGGGACCCACCTGCAAGGCCTTCAGCATGGGCACGCTGTTCAACAGCTCCTCGTACATTTTCCGCTTCCTGAAGGCCGACTTCAACAGGATGCGTCGGAAGGTCTGGCGATCCATGGCCCAGAGTAGACCACTCGTTTCCGCCTGAACGGTGGCCGCTCTACATATTTAAATTCATCATTAGAGACACGTTCACACAGATGTGAGTATACGAGGAGTATATAGAATATAGAGTCATTAGCACATTGTAATTGTGGTTCAGACAGCGCGGAAAATTTGGCATAATGAATCGATCAAATAGAAGAGGGTCGCATACCTGGGCATATTGTAGAGCAGCGCTAATTCACCAAATAGTCCAGTGTGATTGTAGGTGTTAATGTGCCTGTCATTAATATAGACTTTGTAGACGCCCCTGCGGAGTACGGAAAAGTTGAGTTGAGGGTGTTAAGCGACCAGAAAAACACGAAAAATCCACTTTAATCGAATGCAATTTTTAATTGACGCGGTGCGT